ACAGTGGCTCAAGTGGTAGAGCCCCTGCCTAGCAAGCATGAGGCCCTGAGTTCAAACTCTAGTACTGCCACCCCCCCAAAAAAAACCCTTAAAATAAGAATAGTGCCTGGATATATCAGATTTATTCTAAGCATTGGAGTGGTAAGTGATTTGATTTTCCTCTTAGTATTTTATGTATTTTCTAAAGTTTCTACAATGAAACAATATAGAATTAGAATCAGAGGTCCAGAATAAAATATATCTCTGAATGTATAATAACCCCACAATCAACAGAGTCTAAGGAATGTTTTGAATAAAAATTCTTCACTGAACAAGCTGCCTTTCAAACTCTGTTTCACAAAGGCAAATCATCCTGACACCACTGATGCATTGAACTGAGATTCAAAAGATGCATTTTCAGAGGCGCTGGGAGTAAAAGTGGACAAAGATTTCACGCACAGAAGCACCAGCATAACTTGAAATATATGTGAGTGATAGAATCAGGATAAATGAAGACCACCTTGTAAATCACCGTATTCAAACCAAAAATGAAGCAGGAAAATCTGAACACTGCTTCTATTGATATACCGTCAGACCTTTTTTGGTTAGGTGACAGTCTATGACTCTGCACCGAAAACATGTCCTTGGAGACCACCTGACCTGAGAAATACTACACCGAGCCTCAGTCAGTGAATAACCTCGGCATCTATCCGTGGGGGCTGCCAATGAACTGAAGCAGAAGGCGGGGCAGTCACAGGTCTAACTCAAGACCTGGCCCAAGCCGTGGAGCACCTGCCGTGCAAATGCCAACCCGAGTTCAAACTCCGGTACAAAAAACCAGAAGTCTAGCTCAAGCCAGTCACTCAGGATACTGTTTGTCGGCACAGGAAGATTCAGGACTCTGATAGCTAAGTGATAAAGTAACTTCACAGAGGAACTCAACACGCATCGTGTAATGGCTGAAGCAGAAGAGGGTATGAAATATTAGCTGCTTCAAATCAGACCATGTGACTCAGCGTATCAAATTTACAAGTTCACTACATTTTTGGAACCAAATAATTTGATGAGACATGAAACGATGGAAAATCAGTGCAGTTATGGAACATATGACATTTGCAACACTCCGAAGAGTCTACCACTCTGTTTGGAGGATGTTTGCACTCTGGAAAATCCAGGTATGGTTTGGCTTCCTGAGTCCTTCATGATGTCTTTAGTCACCACCTCTAGAAAAGGAGGTGTTAAGCTCCAGTTCTGTAATGGTGAGGTACACTGTGAGGACCGCTGGTCCCCATGTGGAAACCCCCATCTACGCAGTTCTCTTCTCGCTACGTAGTCCTGGACAGAAAACAGTCTCCCTAGCGTTATTTAAATGTGTCATTTCAATGATTCACAAAATTCAAGTAGTAATTACTCATTGCTCCAATGACTGGTTGGGAATGTCATGTAAGCTGTATGTGGTGAGAGCTTTATAAACCAAAACTGACACACAAATGGAAGACTTAAGATATCAATATTAACATAATCGAGTAATTAAGATACAAGTCTCCCCAGGAGAAGCAACTCAAAATTAACTTGTGACCAGATGTCACCAAGAAGTCTAAGACGACATTGCTTTCAACCTGTTTTATTCCTCTGAATTTTCCAGCAGGTATACTAGACTCCTGAGAAGCACCGAAGTTCACTGGCTGGTTACTTCTGAAACGAGCCCCTTGCGATTGGAGAATTAGAAAACAGGACCATGTGCTTTTCCCACCTGGTTGGTCTCCTTTCAGAAATGTAGTCTGTATGGTAATTTGTTTTTAGTTCAAGCTCAGAGACATGTCTACTATGTCCCCAAATGCTATACTCCCGAGACTCCTTGAAAAGCCAGAGCTGCTCAACCAACTGCAGCTCAGAGGCAGCCTCCGCCATTCTCCCCGCTCCAGGGGTGATTGTTAACTGCTTTCTTTATGCTGTAACAAGCGGAATCGTCGAACACTTGCAACAGCTGAGGCTCATTTTTAAAAAATGTTGAGTGTTGAGGCCACCAAAGATCTTTAATTCTTCCAACTCTTAGTCCATGTCCCAGTAGCAGTCTCCCTTGGTCATACATCTGCTCCCCTATGTTCATGCCTACTGCCCAGGCTTCTGCCATCCTGATGTGTTGTGTGACTTCCAATTCTTTCCTCTGAACACCGTAAAACCCGACTCTAAGGTAAACCCCATCCTACATCCTCGTTTCCTCCCACTGCTTAAATTCCTTGCTCTACTTGTTGAAGTTGATGGAAGACTCCAGCCCCAGGCCAAGGAACTTTTGTCCCCTCTGTTCCCACATCACACAGCACCTTGGAGCTCAGGGTAAGTATAAACCTATGGCCTCAGTTATTCCAAACCTTCTCGCTCAACTTAAAGACCATAACCCACGACCTTTTCTGTACTCCAGGAAAGAAACCACACCTTCTACTTTAACAATATCCTAGAAGAAATCAATATACATGCATAGCTCAAACGTTCTTACTGGGAATATGCCAGCAAGGAAATCTGGAGATCACTGGCATAGAAGTTAGATTCCAAAACTGTGGGAACTAAATCCTGTCTTGCCCTGGGGCAAAGAAGCTGAGCTTTCAGAACAGTAACAGAGTAAGAGAACTGTTTTTTATTTGGGGAAAACTTCTGCAAACTTCTTAACCTCTTTTCTCCTCTCCTAGGCCGTCTTTAATTTCCAGTAAAGTGGAACAACAAAGGTGTGGGTGAACTAACATGAAACGTCTTTGAAGGGCAGGGGATGCGGGGGAGAAAGCTCAGTCACAGAACACGTGTGAAGCCCTGGGTTCAGCCACAACACAGCAAAACCAAGACCAAACCAACCCAAGCGAAATTCCTTTGGACACACTTTGTCTCGCATCCGTTCATATATTCTCAACTAGCACAATTGGAAGCAGCAGTAAGGAAAAAAAAGGTATTTTTGTTCCTTCTCATGGTTACTAAATATCCAATAGACGCAAGGCTAATGCAGTCAACCAGCATTACATTCTGGTAGGTTAAGTCAGAAATTTAAAATAGTCACACGAAGTATCTCATGTGCAAACCACCTTGTCAATGGCTTGATTCACTTCCAAGCAGATCCTGATGATCTGCTAAACCCTGACACGACTACAAATACAAAAGACAAAGCTGAGGTGTCTTTGCCTTCTTGGAGGGACCCCAGGCGGCAGTGTCAGGAGACACGTGGGGACGCTGTAGCACTTGCAAAAGCAGTTTGTGGTGTCAGATGACCCACCTGACAATAAAGAGTGGTCTGCAGGGCACCTCTTGGACAAGTGTGTAGCTGAAGCACAGTACAATTTCACACGGTCAAAACGAGGCAAAAGGTCCTTTCTTCACCTCTTCACCCCTCAACTTTTCCTAAGCCTTTTCACCTCTATTTGCCGTAACAGGCGTCAGATCTGAGATTTGCCCAGGTCCAGGCACTTCCCACAACTCTGTCAAAGATCTGTCATTTCAAAAGAGGCAGCAGTGCAGAATGAGTTGTTTTGACTTTTTAACCATCTACCTCACGACTGCCTAATGCTCAAAAGCCAACCCACCAGTTAAGATACCGATGGCTGAGGTTCATTTCAGTCTCAGCTTCCCAAGCAGCTGGGAGTACAGGCATGCACCTCAGCTCAGCTCAATGTCCTGTGCTTTAAAGAAAAAGAGAGAGAGAGGGAGAGAGAGAGAGAGAGAGAGAAAGCACGTACAGGGTGGGGAAGAGCTGTTTGTGTCGCACTCAGTGGACTCTCAGGTCAGGCTTTCCAGGAGCGTTCGTATCACTCTTGAGGGGCCTCCAGTCCGTGCTTTCAGACGCTCCCATGAGGGGGTGCTGAGAACTGGGAGCAGGTCCTCAGGACTTCTCTGAAATGTATACTACGCGCCTTTCTCAAAAAGCCTATTTTACGACTATGAAAAGGGAAATCCTTGGCTACTTAATGGGGTAGCACTCAAACAGGTTGAGATAAAATCACCCCCTTAAATTTGTACTTGAAGTGGAAATGTGATCACCGCCAGAGCAGTAAAGGATAAGAACCATGTCACCTGCCTTCTCAGATGGCCATTTCCTAACCCAACAAGTGGACCGCAGCCTCTGGTCTCACAGTGAGCTAGAATGACTCGCACCCTTTCTATCGAGCCCCCCCCCACCCCCCGTTTGAGACCCACGCCTTGACCAAGGAGAAGTTGCTGTCACTTAGAAATGGTACCAATTTGTGTCATTGGAAACTCTAGACTCTTAAATAGCAGCCTGCATTAAAAAGGTCATGCAAGAAAACCCTAATTCTGTTCCCCTGAACCTGGATACCCCGCTGCCGTTCGTGGAACTGAACCCACAAGATTATACAGGTATTCGTCACCTGTCATGCCCAAAGTAACCGCCTGCCAGCTTCTCACTCTCATTCAGATTATCTCCTGCTGTCTATATTTCTTTTTCCTTTTCTTTTTTTTGTGTGTGGGGGTACTGGGGTTTGAACTCAGGGACTCATGCTTGCTTCGGCAGGCTCTCTACTGCTCAAATCACACCTCCAGTCCTCTATCTGCTATTTTCTTATTTAGGAAAATTCTCTAATTTAGAATTATAAGTTCTATAATTTGATTTTAAAGGGACACAAGGCCAGACGAGTATCGCTCTGAGACCATAACAGAGCCTGTCACACATCCCCTGGCTTCCGTTCATGTGCTTCAGTGATTTATTTGTTAAGTGATTGCCCCGATTATATGAGGGCAGGAACCCTGGAGCCCCGGTGTCAGCGACGGTAGCTCATGGATAGTACTCATTAAAAGTACTTGTCCAACGGGCACTTGAAAAAAAATTTTTTTTTTGATGTCCCCTGAATGTAGCCTGTCATGCTACTAGAAGCCATATACACAGAACCTTTATTTAAAATAAACAAGCAAACAACAGAAAAAAGTTCACTTTAAATAGTCAGGTATTCCATATAGTCAAGTGAATATGTTTTATTAAATGCATACTAATATCCTTCTATAGTATGTGAGTATACATAATAAATTAAAATGTATAGATTTATTAAATATAGGTAGATATAATTTCAGAACATAATTATTTTAAATGAGAAATCAAAATAAACCCATTTTTAAGTATCGTTTGGTCACTCCAAATTGATACTGCTCATAAAAAAATACACCAATTTTCCCTGGGGAAAAAAACAATTAATTCCATAGCAGTGTAGTTGAGGGATATGTTTTATTTCATAGCTTTCTGCAAGCGAAATTGCTTTGTTACAAAATGAGTTCAAATGATACAGGTGCTGCTGTCCACTCAAGCGAAAGAAAACCTCACGTTTTATAGGATGGACTTTATACTTGCAGTCTTAGGCGTGGTAGGTCTAGCATCCAGGACGCCTCTGGCCGCACGAAAGCAATGGCACAGAGATGCTGCAGGCGCTCGGGCGTCCTGCTGAGTAACCTGCGTGAGTTCGGTCAGGTACAGCTGCAAGAACCCGGGGCGGGTGTGTTTCCTTTCCGCCGTCCGAATTGTCGTCTGCGCTGCAACTATCTCAGAAGACAGCCCCGCTGTGTTTCTTTCGCGGTCTGCAATCCCCACGGAGACAAGCAGGTGTCACGAGGTATCCCACCACCGGGGGCGGCGTGGAGCTGTGGTCATCAGAGGCCGCGGACTTACCTGGACAGGTGACCGCCCTTCCTGTACACGCAGCACAGCGCTGTGTGGACAGGTGGCTTCATGTTAAGCGCTTTCTTCCCCCGTCACACAGGCTGTGACTGCAACCCCAGAAACTCTGACCGGAAAATGATACAGATCAAATAAAAAGACAAGTACACAAGTAAGGCCATCTGCAGCATTTTAAACTCGCTTCTTGCGACATTTCACAAGCATCTCCACCTCCTATGTACACGCAGCGAGCAGCCTGGAGCGACACTATCTCTTGGAGGACCTGTCCCCTCTGCTGGCGGGCGATCGCCGCTGGGGCGTGGGGATTCTGGAGGGCTTGGCCGTGGCGGGCCGAGAGCCGGCTCGGGGAGCGGGTCTGTGCGGCTGGGGGTTCGCGTCCACGTCCGAGCACACCGACTGGATTTCCGAAATGTCGAAGTCCGAGGCGTCGCTGCCCCTGCGGCTGCTGGTCCTGCTGCCAGCTTTGCTTCCCGCGCGGCTGCCCGGCCGGCTGGGCGTCTTCCTGGAGTCTGAGGAGAGGAGCAGGGGTCAGTCATGGGCATCCTGACTACTGTCCAGCTACAGCGACACCACCTTGGATGTCTGTCAACATCTCTTTCCTGCACTTAGGAGCACTCAGAATCCCTGGATCCATGGCTTTGTCCTATCACACAGCCCCAAAGCAGCGACAGCTAGACTTACACGCGAGAGGTGACCCTGGCCTCACCCCACTTAAAGTGAGCGACTGGAAGAATACACCGTCCTTGGAGACGGTGCTGTCCCCAGTCTGGCCGGACACGGCACAGGCAGCAGGCTCTTAGGTGTCTTGCCCCAAAGGACACACCTGAAACTTAAAAGAAACCTTGTGTGCGCGCTGAGAACTCAACTCAGTCTCTGAGAAATCCGCATTTTCTCTGGCAGAAGGCCCGGTATGGCCAGGTTTTTCCAGTCGTCTCAAACAGAGCCCCGTGTGACCTCTGAGCTGGCAGAAGAGGCTCCCAGCTCCACGGGGAGAGGGCTGTGACTGTGTCTTCTGTACCACAGTCACCACCCCGTCTTTCCTGGTCCTGTCTAAAAGGGGCTCCTTCCTCACTCACCCCCTATCTTTGCTGGGGGATTGGGGTTGCATGTCATTTCAAAAGAATAAGGCACTGCCAATTCGAAACTTCTTTCTCAACAAGGAAGAGAGGGACTTTACCCTTCAGATCTTCACGCTGCAAAAGCCACTGGGGAAAAAACCCCCAAAATACAGAGGGCACACTCACCAGCAAACTGGGTTCGGACTCTGGCAGCTGCTGTGGTTATCAAGCCACTGTCCTCCCCGGAATGGAAGCCCTTCCCTGATAAATATCCTGGAAGTCGCAGCTTGCTTCCCTGTATTGGTGTTCCCTGTAGTGACCAGTGAAAAGACATGGTAAGACGTCGCTTCCGTTTTGTGACACTCCACCGACACCACTTCTGTACGAATGCACGGAACCTCTACGAGACCTCTTTGGGTGTCCAGATTTTCAATTCACGTATGGGACTCTCACTCGCCTTCCTCCCCAGCTTCCTGTTCTCACACACAGCCCAAAGGAAACTTCTGAGGAAGATGCATTCATGGTTGAAGAGGAAACACAAAAAGGGGGAGGGGGTCCCCAACAGTATACCCGAAGTTATGGGGAGGAGGACACGCAAATGAGGCTGTGAGACATTAGTATCTTCCAGACTGGCAGGGAGTTGTTAGAGCGGTAAGTCATTGCCAAAGAATGGTGAACACCTGGTGCAGAGAGGGGGACAGGGGGATGGGGGCTCTGAAAAACTGTGCTTGGACGCCTTCCATGTTTTCAGGAACAGAAACAGAACTGAGTGAGTAATGCCTAGACAGCCACCACAGAAACAAGCAACTGCAAAAGGGAGAAAAGAATGACGTTTTATAACTTCCTACCTTTATCACGTCACTTCTTGACTCCACCCTGTTCTAGTTTTGGGGTTTGTTTAATGGCTCTGGGGGGTTAAAGCCAGGGCCTTGTGCATACCAGGCACACTGAGTTACACGCCCAACCTGACTGTCATTTTCTATGGGTCTTAAATACATTAGCAGGCAAGCCAAGCATGGTGGCTCACACCTGTAATTCTAGCTGCTCAGGACGGAGAGATCTGGAGGACTGTGGTGTGAAGCCAGCTGAGGCAAAATTTCATAAAACCCCATTTGAACCGATAAAGCTGGCTGCAGTGGTGTGTTTATTATTCCAGAGCAAACAGGAGGACTGTTGGTCCAGCACGGCCAGGGCACAAAACAGGAAGACCAGAATCACTCTCTGAACACCCTGGTTGTTTTGATCTTGCTGACCTTTCCACAGAAAACACTTTTACTCTGCTTGAGTGCCTGGTTTTTATTTCATGAGGTTATTTGATGTGAAACGCAGTTTTGTATTAGTCCAAAGAATACATCACTTTAGTTTTGGGGAGTTTCTACTTCTTAGAAATTTGAACATAAATATCTTATGTTCAAATGAAAGAAAAAAAAAGATTCATTTTTTTCATTACTGGGGCTTGAACTCAGGACCTCACCCTCGCTAGGCAGGCGCTCTGCCACTTGAGCCACATTGCCAGCCCTTTTTGCTTTAGTTATTTTTCAGCCCGGACCACAATCCCCATGGAATTACAGGCGCATATACCACCCCTGGCCTGCGCCCTAAATAGTTAAGGTGAATGTTAATGTATGTCTTGAAGTTCTTAAACCCTTCTTGGTTTCTGCTACACTTGAGTCAAAATGACAGACAGGCGCCTCTATGTAACCTGTGAACGAAGGGGAAGGGATGAGGAAATGCTGAAGAATGGGTTGTTTCCGTCCCAACCCCACCACTTAATCAAGCCGGTAATGAGCTTCCTCTGCCTGCCTCTCATTAGTGCTGTGAGGATGGACTGACAGATAAGAAAGTGTTTTGAAAAGCACAAAGGGCTTTTTAAAGGGACCATCTTTCATTTAAGTTATACATAATTGGGAAGGTGAAAGACCTCTTTCATCTCAAGAATGTTTAAGAAGGGATTCCCTTCCCCCTAATCTTTGTGATTTTAATCAAAATGTGATTATTTGGTACTTATGTTTGCCATTTCATAGAACAGCTTCTTAAAAAAGATGCCTGGTTGACTTTTAATTGAATGTAAATAGTCTGACGTGTGAGTTAATCTTGGCAAGTTTTCTTCCTGCTAAATATCTTATCTTCATATAGCACGTCACACTGAGAACACGGTACGCTCAGGTAATATTAGTTCTTAAAATCTAATAAAGATACCTTCTGGAAATGATATAACTTTGTGCCTACCACGCCCAACCCCACCCCGATCTCCTGCACTGACACCTGAGAACTTGGGCCACATCCATGCGGGGCTGTTGGACAGAAAGGGCAGACGATCAGAAGGACCACGTCCACACGGAACACTCACTGAAATCCTCTTCCTTTAGGTGGTGTTCTTGCTCCCATGTAAAGGATGCATGTTGCGTTTCTTTTTTTATAAAATTTGTTATCAGGGTATGTTGATGATACGGGTGGGGGATTCAAAGTGACAATTCCAATCAGACTTATACTGTGCATTATTTACATTGCCCCCATCGTCTCTTCCCCTCAGCCTCCTCTCTACTCCACCCAAAAGCAATTGCAAGAGGTTTTTTAGTTCTGTTTCATATTGGTATGTGAAGTCCATCAGCCATATACTGTCACCTTAATCTCCTTCCTTCACCTTCCCCCTTCCTACTAGTACCCCTCCCCCCCCCTTGCCATGTCTATTTTACAGTCCTGGTTTTCTTTATTAATATTTAAATTGATGTTCAGAGGGGTATCTCGATGTAGCAGTTGTGTTTCTTGCCCAAATTATTTCTACTAGCAAAAGCATTCCGTCAGTTTTAAAGGAAAGGTTACACAGGTCTGGGTATGACCTCCTGTATTTTACTCTTCCGAGAGATGCAAGGGGCAGTAAGTAGGAATAAGAATAAAAAAGCCACAGCCCACACATGTGACTATGCCAAGTCAACATGTCCTTTCGGTTAGCTCCTTACTCTCACGTCTTCTAAGACTGCCAGGTGCTAGGTCCACCCTCATTTTATAGAGGCCTACAGAAAGGTGTGTTCTCAGAAGTCCGTATGTTAAAGGGGAGGTGAGGCGGTGTTAGTGGGCGGGAATTTGAGTTAGAGGTCTGTTAAGGCTGGGTTCTGGGGCCTTACGATACCTCTGCAGATGACCCGGGAAAGTCTGAGCACTCTGCTGGCTTACAAGGAGTTGACATTTTGCTGTTTGTCAACCATGGTTTACCGTAATTGCGTGTTAAAGGATGGAGAATCTGTATGGAACAATGGCAAATCAAATGTAAAGGCAGCAGATAACAAACAAAGCCACAGAAAGATAATCATAGCAGAAGGCCACATGTCACAGGCAAAGCGTAATTACTGAAAGTAAGCGGGAAGGTCTGATGACGGATCACACGCACCAGAAATAAAAAAGAAAAATCAATCTGAAAGATAACAAGGCCCTTCCGTTGACAACCTCTATATGGAAGAGCGAAAAGCATGAATTAGAAATACGTATCGTGACAAGGACACAAATGGGGACAGCAGGTCTTACGAATTCTAGGGACTGAAAGCATTTAAACGTATACTTAGCACAGGGCTACACTGGAGGAGGAAAAGATTCCATTCCGGAGTCCTACCTTGGGTGTGCTGGTGGCAGGGACCTGTGGGGAGGCCGCCTGGCCCGCCTGACTGGACACAGAGGTGGACCTGTTGGGCGAAGCGCCTCGTGATGAGGGCCGGGATCTGCGGCCCCGTGGTCGGAAGGCAGCCATGCCCTGGCTGGCCCCATCGGCGAGGATGAACTTCTCACGCAGTTCCATGTTGGTCCTTCCTTTAGCTGGATCAGGTGCACACACGAGACAGGGATGCACACAAAAGGAGGAAAAGAGGCACTCAACGGAAAGAACGTGACCGCTGACACCACAGATCACACTGAGAATTTCAAGGACGCCTTTTTGCCATGCCAACTCCAACTCAGCATCACAAAAAGTTAAATGCATTCCTTCACAATGCATTCCTCTCTGATACGAGTGAGTCTGGGGACAGTGGGGCAAAGTGTGCTTATTCTAACACTAGACGCCAGCGAGAATAACCACTTAAAAGAAAGAGCCAGCATGAAAATGGAAAGCTCATGCCAAAAGACTGTTAACCCAGCAGCTGTTGAGGCCCAGGACCTCTCCGCCACACTGAGAGGACAAGCCGGGAGGGTAGGGACTGTGTCTGCTGCATGTACGATTGAGCTCAGAATGTCAGTATTTAACACTGGGATTCGTTCAACGAAAGAATCACACAGATTCAGAGATGGCTCGTTAGTCAGGAGGACGACATAAACTTCCAGGTTTTTCACTGCAAGGAGGCAGCTAGTATTTGAACGTTATGCCTTCAAAGACTGTTTTACCAACATGCAACGTCAAACACCAGATCCCAGGATCCAGCACTTGCACGAACACATGTGCACACGGAGAACGCGCCACGAGAACGCGATAGCCACGTGTCAGTGTGTGTTGGATCACTCACGACACTTGCACTAGCAACACGCCCACCGCAAGTGTGTCTGAAGTAGAGGATTTAAGTGTGGAAGCACCAGCTCAGTTGGGTATGAGTTAAGCCATCCGCAATGAATGAAGCGTATTATATTAAAACAAACGATTAAAGCAAGAATGTCAAAGAAGGGAAGAGAAAAAGGAAAGAGCAGAGAGGCAAAGAGATGGGTTGCCAACCTATAGCAGGCTGAGTAGCAGTAATTGAAGAGTTTGATTCCGAACGTAACATTTTACTCCCATGGTGATGAACTAGAAAAAATGACACAGGATACCAGTCACATTCAAGAGTACCGTTAGCAGAAGAAGGAACAAGTACAGGGGTTGAATACGCAGAGTGCTCAGATCCGGCCTTCAGCACAGGTTTTAGAAGAAGAGTCACACCAGGAAAAGAAGCCCTCAAAGATCTGACTCCACAAGCAAAACGTGTTTGCAAGACTTTTGCCCCAGTCCCGCTGCCTCTCCCAAGCAACCCAGCAGAACGGCACACACTCTCATTTCGTTGTTTCCTAAGCAGGGCGGCGGTGTACCCTCCAAGCTCTGTCACACACCGCATAGTGGTGCTTTGGTCGGTGATGGGCTGCATGTATGACAGTGGTCCCACAAGAAAAATTCCTACCACCTAGCTGACACTGCGGCCATCTGATGATGCTGGCAGATGCCAGCCTACTGCACTGTAAAAGTACGGGGAACACAGGACACCCCGCTCTCTAACGGTAACGGCAGTCCTGTTGCTCACCTACATACCTGACGTACTGCCTTTTTTGTTATTGTCAGAGTGTTTTCCTCCTATGTATAAAAAACGTTCACCGTAAAATCTTCTGCCATGCCATGCCAGCAACAGCTACATACACCTGGCATTACTGTGGCTCTTGGCTGCCCTATTTTCTCTTGTACGTGACTTACTATCACATAGTTTTACTCATGCATGACCCTAGGAACACGTCATGCCCTATATGTGACTACATACACACACGTCATATAGTCTGGGTGTGTAGCAGGCTACACCATTTAGGGTTGTGTAAGCACACTTTACGTTTGCAGAAGAACAAAATTACTAGAAGGCATTTCTATCATTAAGCAATACATGACTGATAAAAATCAAACAAGCTTTTCTTCTTGCTTTCTTTTTTAGGTGTGTCCTTAGCCAACAGAGATCAGGTATATGGTGATATAGCGATCCATGGTGGCCTGCCCAGGCAGGCCTGCTCGCTGACACACCTGGGCACTCAGTGCCAGCACTGAGACCAACGGGGTCCACTTGGGTCCCCATTTGGTAGTGTAACAGGCAATGCCTGGAGCAGACGACCTCACAGATAGTTGTAACAATTCTACTGTTCCTTTTTTTTTTTTTCTCAAAGTAAGAAAATGTGCCTGCTGAGTAGATGGTACCTCACTCGAAACTGCAATCAAGTGCTCACTTGCAATATAAATCAATTAAGGACTCAACTATTGACCGCGGGAATCTGAAAATAGGCAAATTAAAGCTAGCCAGGCCTCCCGAGCTGGTAGACGTGGAGGGATTGTGTGTTCGGATAAGTAAGAGTCAAGTTACAGTTCATTATTGTTTAAAAAAATATAAGTATTGCTTTCATAACTTCCCCCCATTTCATAAAAACTCTGGCTTTTAAACTTTTACTATCCAGAATTTTCAGTATTTATCACCTCAATTTTCGTTCCGCTACCTTGCTATTTTATGACAGTCAAGGTCCCTTTCTTGGTGAGTATTCATTTTGAAAATGGCAGACAGGAAGAGTTCATAAAGACAATCTTGTCTAGTACTTACTGCCTACTGTCTCAAATTTATCCCAGAAGTACTACTAGTAATAATTAATAATAATAATAATAATAATAAACCCAACGAGGAGAACGGGGTTTACATGCGTGCCGCGACTTCAGGTCAGCAGACCTGGGTGCAGCACTGACTACTGGGCTCAAGGGCCCGGAAAACAGGGCAACACGGTGTGCTTTCACGGTGCTGTCACCTTGACGTAATAAGCGTGGCCTTACCCCTGCAGGGATCATTTTTCACTAAGAACTCATCCAGTGCCATCCATCCGCCTCCAACACGGACCATCACGGTACTCCGGAGGATCCGGACCAGTCGCAGCTGCTGGGAGTCTCCAAACTGTGGGGGCGAAAGAGAGAAAGAGCCTCGGACGGTCAGTGACAGCCCTGGATATGCCACCCGCAGAAGCTCACGCCACCAACTTGAATTTCTTGCCTCGTTCACAGTGATTAGTAAAATCTTAGGAGTGGGTGGTGATGGCTGCGTTAGGCACTGCATGCTGACTGAGCCCCAGGGAAATGGTTTAAAGACAAGGTTACGGAGAACACCGAGCGGAAAGCTGAAGCTTCATCCTAAAAACGGAAACTCTTTCTCTTTCTTACAGTAAAAACAACATGAGGAGCAAGGCAGCAAACGGAAAAGTGTTTCTAGAGATTAAATGCAGCCATGAAAACAGGCACTGGCCCACTCGCCTGGGGCTTGTGCAAAGTATGAGGGAACGTTAATAAGCTCCGATTCCCCTGCACTTCAGCTACACTCCACTTAAATCGCTGGGAGAGAGCTTCAGAAACTCATTCTGTCTTCCCTGAGAAAGTTTTGACTTGTGGAGAACAAAGTCGTCAAATGAGTATGACTAATAAAAATTTCATACTTAGCCTCAGTCTGCATCCCTAACTGTCCAGTAAACCAGCTTGTTCAAGGCTGGATTAATATACCACTTCATGTTACTGTAATATTAGAACAGCTGCTGACAGATTAGCAATGACACAGCTTTCAGACCTAAGATGGTTTTCTCAACGCTGCATGGACCCTAATTGCTGACACTAAACTAGCACTCATCTTTTCCTTGCTCCTTCGTCCAGCCAACTGGACGTGCTGCAAATTCTACAAGCCCGTGACACGGCAGGCAGTTCTGACCACAGGTTTATTTGTTTTGAAAGCCTGTGAGAAATGATTTTATAGTTTGGAATTATTTCTAACAGGCTCGTGTCCAACTTATCAAAACCACCATACTGAATTTCATGGCTGCCAACCCAGCAGGTAACAGAGTAAAATGAGCAGTCAATTAACCTAGGTAACTTCTTTTTACAGCCAGGAGAACATGACTGTGCCTTGGACTATTGGCCTGGCATCCTGTGATAGACAGAAAACTTTAAGTAGAAACACTGTTTATTTTCAGTAAGCTTTAGCACTGAATTTTGGAAGAGTTGCCTAACACAAAGCCAGCCAAAGCCTACTTGGCATCCTAAAACACACAAGGACCCAGGAGATAGGAGAAACACATCAGGAGCACTCGGGTGTTTTACATCAGACCTGTGTGAACCTCTATTTCTAAATCTGATCTTTAAAAACTGAGATTTAAATATGCCTATAAAGTGAACCTGCTCCGGAAATGTAAATGCAAATTTTAAAATCAATACATACACATATATTATTTATTTTGTTAGAAAAAATTTGGTGCTGCTGGTAAGCAGAGGGAAAGGAGGGGATTTAAAGAAAATTACCCTTAAGGAACCAGATAATTGGACCAGAAGATTTCAGCTCAAGATTATATGCAAAACCAGTTTTGGGGATATATAAAAGTACAGCATAGAGACAATATTTCAATTCTATTAAGTAGTGGGCACTTTAAAATTTTATTTAGAAAGGTATTCTCCAGACAACACTGATTTTGGAATTTCTCTAATTTTCCCAAAAACCAAACTGTGAGACAAGAAAAAATGAAAGTCTTTTGAGGTATTTCTCCTCACAAATAAAAGAATTTATCCCAGACTAAGAAAATAAAAATAAAAGTAACATTTTAAGTATTATAGCAGAAAATTTACTGATTTGATCATTACATGTTATATACATGCATCAAAATAGCACATGTAATTTGTACAATTATTGCATATCAAAATGTTTCTTGGAAATATCTACCCAATGCAATGGAATTTTATGATTTTAAATATATTACTTGCTTGCCAGAAATGGGGTCATTTGAAGCTTAGGATGTGATAAGGCTTAAATGGAGAAGAGTAACAGCTCGCATGAATGGTCAGGAACTACAGACAGCAGTGCTGTTCCTTATAAAAGAACACAGTAAAAAATATGCAGAGGTGCTGGAATCAAAACATAATTTGTATTGTCCTCAGTTTTAAAATTTTGGCCCTGCTGCAGGGCCATTTAAACGCCAATATAAACATGAGGCCATGATGGCATAGGATGCACCTTCCAGATTTTGTATAATTTGCAGATGACAACTTCTTCAGAAGGAACAACATCACTTCAAACCTCCAGAGTCAACACTTCTACTCAGAGGCTGAGACGCCTATGTCAGTGACCCAGGCTGAGGGTCATGGAGACCTCTCAGTTCTCTGCCCTCCATGTCCGGCCCGATGCTAACCCTTCTCTGCTACTGTATGTCACAATCCTAAGAAGTTATAACAGAGACATGGAGAATCAAATCTGTGTTCCAATGACTGTCTGCGTAAAATCTGTGCTCATAGCATTGTTCAAAAAATGGGAATTAAAAATTGCATTTGTATCATTGTAGCCAATCGAGCTACCACTCATTATCTGGTTTGCTTAAAAGTAACCTCCTCATCTGAAAGGCAAAGCACAAAGGCATCCCAGATCAGGGATCCTTACAGCTAGCGCTTACAGAAACACCACGCCAACCAACAACGTAGCAGCGAGGGGGGTGGGGTGGGGGGCACGGGGAAGATGGCCCTGAGCAAGCTTGATGACTAGGAATCAAGGTTAAAAATCATTGGGGACTGGAGAACACATTCCGCTGGTTTATACCTGATTTCCCAGGAAGAACTGACAAAAAAAAAAAAAAATGAAAAATGGAGAAAGGCACAATTAGTTCAGCAGGAAACTCTGTATGGCTTGAGAACACACACACTCACACTCTGGGCTTCAGGATATAGTATCTAGCCTAGAAATGGGCAGGTACCCAGTTGTTCACACTTCCAACAAACATTGGAGAAATTCCTCTACCAATGTATTGGAAAATCTTAGGATTTCAAACTTAAAAATTTGAGTGTGTAGATGAATTTTTTAATGTGACAGCAGAGAAATAAGTAAGGTGTACTTGTAACTAGCACACTGTATTTGGAAAACTCGGCACATTTTCTATCTAGCTACCACATGCGAGAGATGTTCCAAAACAGAGAAAAAAAAAAAAAAAAAGACAGTGATGACATCACGTTGTTTTTCTGTTTGGAAGGTGAGCAAAGTTAATTGAGATTTTATTTTGAATAAAAGAGGCAGGACAAACACTGCCTCTTCTTCATATTTATAAAAATGAGTCAACGTTTTTAACTTTATGGTGTTGGTTTGTAGTGGCTTTCTTATTCAAAATCTAGAAACTCACCTCTTATCATAGCAAAATATTTCATATTACTTGTAAAGTAATATGAAACAGCCAAGTGGTGTGAATGGGGTTTGAGTGCTTTGTGGAGAACAATTTTCTCCTTAAAAGTACCATGCATGTTGTAAATATCAAAGATGTCCTAATATCCAAAACATGAGCTGTGTTTATCAGATTTACGGTGATAAAAAGCTGAAGTTTCATATACTCTTACATTGTGAGCTGATGTAAAAATAAGTAAATACCCTGAGAAAACAAAATCAAATTGTACACAAATTTCAATTTATACCCTTTAAAGGAACTACAAAGTCACGGGAAAAACTTACCCTGTACTTGTTATCACCAATCTGTTCAACTTGAAATCGTTTTGCACATTTACACTTAGCTACCTGCCTTGTGACCTGCCAAAAACAACGATGAAATATTCACTTTAATGTTCATATCTCACAGTGGAAGCCTTAAAACTTTGACACAACTACTCAAATGAAAGCAAAGAAAATGGTTTGCGTGGACTGCGCTTGACTCTTGGCAGAGCGCACGCCTGTGGCCACAGGCAGTGGGAGAAGCCCAGTACCTCATCTTCGATCTTGTCGGCGTCTGTGACAGGTTTATATGCGTCTTTATTTGGGTGCAGCGCTGCTACAAACTCATAGTAGTCAATGTACCCGTCACCATCTCTGTCAAAGATGTCTGCGACGGCACTCATCTCCAGGCGGCTGGTTGGGAACTCTAAAATTTACAAAACGAAGTAAGAAGTGCCATCCCTTACGAATTCTACCTCAAGACAGTCTTGACAACGCGTTTTAAACCTCAGGGGGGCTGGCTAGTTCAGCAGGGTGATCAAACATGTTAAGATTCTTTTTAAAAAATGTTTTATACCACAACAAATGTACAGATAGATGTGTGATCCTATATATGTGATCCAAGTTCATCTTTAATTACTAGGGTAAAAATGCTGCTTTTCTAGGTTGAAAACTTTTCAAAATTAGCAATTTCGTATGCTTCAACCACTACTCTCCTTAAGGAATAATCTGTATGAAATTCTCATTAAGAATGACTGAGCGACAACTGTCAGGAAATCACACGTAAATGACCGAACCATCAAACGAGAAGGTCATTTAGGGCTCTAGTGTCCTGTTAACGTGAACGTTAAATCAGAACGTTAAAACAGGTCCTGTCTGCAGGTTGGCACCAGTGGGCGAGGGGAAGGATATCAAGGAAGGGTGTAGGCGGGTGAATGTGGTGGAAATATATGTACTCATGTATGAAAATGCAAAAACGAGACCTGTTGAAACTGTTCCAGGAATGGGGGTGGGGGATAAAGGAGAAGGAAGGAGGGTGAATTCAACTATGATCTATTATAAGAACTTTGGTAAATGTTACAATGTATCCTAGTACAACATTAATTAAAAAAAAAGAACAATAATTAGAATGCTAAAGAGACCTATGTTACTTATTTCCTATTCTACACCAAGCCACACAAAACCCCTAAGAATCAGATGTTGCTAACTTTAGTATACTAACAAGGACCCAGCTTCAGTGGAAGAAATGAACCTATTCGAGGTCACACATTTACTGAGTAACTGTGCCTGACTCCATAAATTTTACCAAACACACTTTGTTTTCCTTCATGTGGTGACCTCCTAGCCAAGTTTAAAGGCAATGCTATTTTAGTAACACAAGAATTTCAAACTCTGCTTATTTTCTTTAAACATGACATCAGTTAAAGTCACGTCTCGTGGGACTTACTGGAGGACAGAATTCCATCGATGAATTCCTGCCGGGTGATCTTGCCATCCTGGTCTTTGTCAATCCTCCTGAAGAAATCCATCACTCGAGACTTCTTATGGTTCATCCAACGCATGTACTTTTTACGCCAGATATCAAAATCGAAGTTCGCAAATTCTCTCAGCTGGGAAGGGAAAAGGGTGTGCTGGCTGAGTTAAAGCTGTGTGCAAACTACAGCATGTAGGATCTGAGCAAAGTTACTTTTAGTGGCCCTCCCCACCTCTCCCCCATTGCAAAGACAGATGTGGTGGTGAAAACAGGACTCAGAAACAACTTTCTGTAAACCTTATTTCATTGACGTCACTGACCTTTCTCTACAAATAAAATCCCTAAAATGTAAACTGATCATATCTCATGATACCAAAGTCACAAAGGTGGTCCTCCCCGAAGAGCCAGCACTAGCCCTGTGTTTGGCGAAAGGCACAGGGCTGTTCTAAGCTCTTAGCAAACCTGCCCTCTGCCCCCTCCACCCTATCTATTCACCCCTCTTCCCTTCCCTCGATGTCACGTCAAGTTAGAGCTTTTTAAGCAGGAAGCTTGTGCTTGACAAAAACGCAAGTTTTTACTTTATCAATTCCCTGGCTCCAAACCCCATATTAACAGTGTGGTTTTTAAGTTTTTTCTCTTTTTACAAGAACATATTCTTAGTATTCATTTCAGAAGTAAAGCTTGCAGCCCAAGGGCGAGAGTCTGCTTCTGTAAAAGCAACACCACCCTGCAGAAGGGAAACCCGCCCTTTGCCAACCTCCTCCAGCCTGTCCAAGGCATCGTTCAGCTTCCGCCTCCTCTCCAGCGCCAGGAGCCACACTTGCTGCCACTTGCTCACCAGCAGGTTCACTCTGGGATTCTTGGTTTCAATCTGTGTCTGGGACCCAGAGGGGTATAAACTGGATGCCGGGAAGCGTTTTCCTGTTAAAACACAACTCCAGTCAGGACAGCAGAGTTTCCAGGGTTCTAATATGTGTTGAGACTTCTGTAAGCAGAAATATCCCAATTTAGGGAAAACGTCACGTCAAGGTCCAAATCACATACTGATTACAGAAATTAGGGAAAAAAATACCTTGACAGGGCACCGAAATACTGGACAGCTCTTTCAATACAGTTAGGCTTAAAACATTTTCCTGCCTAAAATCCATGCCATTTCCATGACCTGGGATCCTCCTCCTTGTCCAGAGAAAGAAATCTCCTAACTCAGACTACAGCAAACCCAGCCGCCTTTTATAGAGAGAACATGGCCCAAAGAAGAGCGGGCAAGAGCGAGACATGGTGAGCAGTCACTGGAGTTAGTAAGATGCTTCACAAATCCCATTCGAGACAGGAAACCGGAGTACAGGACCCCAGTTGTTCTCCCAAGTCCATTTTCCACTTAGACTGCATTGCCTATGCTTAGTCTCAGACCCATCTTCACCAAGCCACTAAAATTTTCTCTCTCTTCTGGCTGCTTTTCACAAATTTCTGTAACTCCACAAAATAATTATTGCATATATTTTCCTCATCTAACTAAATGGTTACATATGGCCTAGAAACATTATCACCCTAAGCTCATACAGGGTGCTAGTGTCCAAGCTGGATTTACATGGGTAGCTGCTGAGGATTTAACTGTGTGCCTGAAGTATGTCCTTCATAATCCTCACTACAGACCAGTGAGATTAAAATGATCTGCTTGCAGATGAGGACTCAGAGGCCTTGAGGAGTTTAAGCAACTTGGGCAAGGTTATGTTTCCCAGTTGGTAAGTGGTAAGGTTAGGCAGAGAGAATGCCCCAGAGTTCTCGGTCATGTAAGTACCTTGCAATTACAATAGCTTTGACCTCACTTTAAAAAAATTAAGACAATACTCAAAAACACACAAAATAGACAGGGGCCAGTGACTCACACCTATAATCCTAGCTACTTGGGAGGCTGAGATCAGGAGGAAAACAGTTCAAGGCCAGCCTGAGTAAAAAATTCACAAGACCCTCATCTCAACCAATAGCTGGGTTCAGAGATATGTGTCTGTCATCCCAAGCTATCCAGGAGGTTGAAATCAGGAGCACCGAGCTTCTAGGCCAGCCTGGGTAAAAACGTTCATGAGAATTTATCTTGACGGAAAAAAGATGGATGTGGTGGCTCGTGTCTGTCATCCCAGCCATGTGGGAAGCATAAAACAGGAAGATCACAGTGCGGGCCCACTGGAAGAAAAAGCGAGACCCTACCTCCAAAATAACCAGAGCCAAAAGGGCTGGAAAAAGTGCTCAGGCAGAAGCATGCCTGCCTAAAGCACGGAGCCCTGAGTTTAAAACTGTAGTACCACCAAAAAAATGACACAAAATGGGGCTGGGTGTGATGATGCACACCTGAAATCATAGCTAGCCAGGAGACAGAAGTAGAATTGTCATCTGGAGCTAACCTGTGCAAAAGTGTGAGACTCTGTCTGAAAAACAAACTAAAACAAAACAAAACAAAAGACTGGGGTGTGTAGCTCAAGTGGGAGAGTGCTTGCCTAGCAAACCTGAGTTCAATTCCCAGTACCACTAAAAAATATATACACAAAGTATTATCTGTGCTTTTAAAAATATTTGCTCAGTTAACTACTATTATTTTTAAGGTTGTTTTGCTGTGTTAAGATTGCCTGAGAAATAAGAATCTAAAACCATGTGAATATAACAAAACCTATGCTGGCTGGTCACTAGGGAACCTTACCCAGGTCACAGTCACTTTTGTTATGTTCAGCTTTAAGATTATTTATATAATAGAAGAAAATGAGGCCATCAAAGAGGGTGGTGGTTCCTGTTCTGGAAAGTTTTCCCAGTTTCTTCTAGCTAATCTGAAAGATACGCTTCAAGCAAACAAAGTTAAATATAGAAACCTGGAAACAGTGTTTGCTTCATTTTTAAGCAAGCTGCTACAGCACCTCAGCCATGTTTTCTTTCAAGAAAACATCCTTGATGGGGTGCTCATGCAGAATCACTAACTGCTCTAAAATTTCAAGCAGTAGCCACAAATAAAACTAGTTCCATTGTGCAGGCATCTCAGCTTTAGTTTAGTGTTTTTTTTTTTTTTTTTTTGGCAGTACTGGGGTTCGAACTCAGGGCCTTATGCCCAGGTGCTCTACCACTTGAGCCACTCTGCCAGCCTGGACTCTCCATTTTAAAGAACCTGTCCACTGCTTACTTGCTGCCCTTCCCTTATCCAAGACTGGAATATGGGATTGTAAGGAAGACAGGTCAGCCGCTCTTCTTTTGTAAGTCTTGGTGACTTTGTCAACATCAGGCTGCTTTCTGGTCATTTCTTCCATGAAGGTCTGAAATGAGAGAAATGATGCCAGTTCAGTAAGAATGTACCAGGTCAGCAGGGATGAATGAAAGACACAGGATAAGAGGGTTCTTTCTCTCTTTCTTCTTTCCTCCCTCCTTCCCTCTCTCCCTTTTTGTCTCTCTCTTTCTCTCCCTCTTTCCCCCCTTCCTTTCTTTTTCTTGGGACTGAGCCTAGGGCCTTATGCAAGTGCTCTACCACTGAGTTACATCCTCCCGTCTCTGCCCCCTCTCCGCCCTGAGTGCTGTGACTAAGGTTGTGCGTCACCTAACTATGTTGTTTCTGAAGAAGGAAAAATGACCACGTTTTACCTTTAGGTGGACTATACCTGAAGCAACAGGAACCAGCACCAACAGATTTCTATAGCGTGCAAAATGCTGTTGCCAGCAAAGAGTAAGTTAAAAATTTAAAAACAGTAATTTGTCTTAGCTTGAAGACCGCTCATGAGAGCAGTCATGAGACTACCACAAGCAACAACCAAGCTCAAACGCCAAGCTCTTCTGCAAGAGAGTGTTTAGAGGGCCCTTGCCTGCAAAGGAACTAACAGCTGGGGTGGTCTCTGTGGCACAGTCCACGTGCATCTGTGGCAGATGGATTAAGATGTCTTAAACATGCTATTTCAAGTGGGTAAGAGTTTATCAAGTTAAAGTTTGTTACAGCCCTATTTAAAAGGCTTGACTATCTTACCATTTCTTATCATGTCTCCTTGGCTTACTACTACTGCTGACCAGGCATCTCTATGTGGGGAGTGCATGGCAAAGGTTGAGGAAAGGTGAAAAGTGATGGGGAAGAGGCGAGGCTGACACAAGTGAAAGGGTAAGTGACATACTGCTGGAGTATTTGCCATACTGGGAAACTCCTACCACTGTGATATCGCTGATCTCATGGATGTGCTCTGAGCCCTTAGGGACACAGCACACACTGAAACCTTGGTCTTCATTAAAATCTAACAATGGCCACGCTAACTGCTCAGCCGGTCGGGCTGACAGTCAATCGCTCCTTTTGTAAAAATGCACATGAAAACAAACTTTAAATCAGAATGCATGTGAGGCCCGTCATTTCAGAGTTCAAGCAGGGTAGTATGTACAGGAGAAGTAATAATTTCTGAGAAAGACACTGTATTTATTCCCTTTCAGATAGGATATAGCTGGAATATGGGGAGAATACTGGAGGACAGAAAAATGCCAACATGGAAAAACAATAAAACAAGTCAGATCCATGGGGAAGAGTGAGATTGGCAAAAGAAGGAGAAGGATGAGCTGGGGATAAAGAGGGGGAGGAAGGGCATTTTGGAGTTGGCATTCAGAAGCCCAGAAGCCAGCGTGAGGCAGTGCCACCTGAGTAGGGCTTCACAGGTGGTAAAGGAGGAATGAGATTTGCAAAGGTCCAGTGGGTACTGCAGAGAAGTGTCAGGCAGTTGCGGAATTAGAAGTCCAGTTGTCTGGAGCTGGGAGTGTGGAGGTAACACAAGGAAAGCAATCTTTTGAGAAGTACCAGAGGGAAAGAGAGAAAATTCTCTGAGACAACAGTTAACAAGGCTAAGAATAAACGAATTTCACCTGGTGCTCTGCAATGAGGGCTTTCACCTCCTCGATCTCCTGGGGGATGACTTCCTTATCTTTTTCACTGAGTGTGGTTTCAGCCCACTGCAGCCAAGCCAGCAAAGCTTCCAGCAGCTCTTGCTTAGCGATAAGCCCAGCCAGAGCGCTGGCCAGTCTCTGCTGATGCTGCTTGGCCCAGGCCAGCACCTGTGGCAGAAATAGAAGACCCTCTGAATTTCTCCCGACTTAGCGAACAACTGCATTAACATAAAATGCACAAGTTTTAAGTTGGGATCTTCCGGGATTAGAACTCACAATGTGTCTGGTCTTTCTAGATTTCTTGCCTGGCCCAAGCAGGCTATTGGGGTCCTTGAGGTTTGTCACCATCCAAAGTTTAAAGATGTACCTCAAACCCAGGCTTCCTTTCGTTCCCTAAGTGACACTCAATATGCATTCTCTGAAGGATCAAGTGTGCTTTATTCCATGTAGCACTAGGTACAAAATTTAAAGCGCCAGGATCTTAAGTAGAGAGTTCATTCTGGCTGCACATAACAACTCATGAGCAAGCTGGACAAAATGCTGCCCAGTGACCCAAGAATCTGCTGTCTGGGGTTTCAGGGATGGAGCTGCATGTTCCTTTCGCTGTTCAAAGAACAGTGGCTCTCAGAGACTGGTAACGCACACAAGAGGGGTCTCTTCCTCCCACAGTGCCCCACCCCCAACTCTCAAAGCTGCCACCTCTCTGAGATCGGAGGGCCACCAACCTCCTCAAACCTGGCCCGGATAATGGTGATCCAGTGCTTAATGGTGGTGATGGAGTCAGGATGGCAGATGGCCAACATGGCGTCGCCCATACTGGTGGCTTTGTTCAGGTCAGCTCTTTTTTCTTCCAGTTTCTTCATGAACTCCTACAGCAAAAACAAAGTCTTCAGTTAGCTGTCGACACTAGCTGAAAACAAAACTCAAAACTCATGGCGTTCATTTACTGTTAAACAAACAAGAACTTCCAACTGGTTTAGTCATAGTTAAAGTCATTCACGAACTGGGGAGGAAAAGGGAAGCATGGGAACTCAAAGTCAAGTACTTTTTAATATGTATGTCAAAGTGCAGATGCAGGAAAACATTTCATTCTTCAAAATAAATGAAACAGTGCTCTAAAATGTAGATACACGGTAATTGTGCCATGAATGGAGGCAGGATTGAGACAGACAGTATTACTAGAGATAGAAACAATTCTGATTGAAAATAAATAAACAAATAAATAAAGCTCTGGCAATAAGATAAGGAGGCTAGCGCTGTAATCCCAGCTACCTGGGAGGATCGATGACACCCAGGAGTTTGAGAACAGGCTGGACAACACAGTTTTTGAGACTCCCATCTCAAAAAACAAAACACGGAATCTTTACTTCGTATCTCCTATGTGGGGAGCAGGAACTGTCTTCCCCTACTTTATCCTGCAAGACTAAAATAAACCCTTGCTAAAACTTAAAACAAAACAAAAATTCCCCACCACAACAAAAATAAGGAAGTCAGTACTTAAAATACTGTTCACGGTGCTGGGTGAGGGAAAAATATGTATTATAAAAAAGGACCAAATTAGAGAAGGCTGACGAGGAGCTACAAGTGTGGGATACAGGACCCACAGTCAGGAGGAGGCTGGCCTGGGTGGGAGCCGTCCCTCACAAAGCCCTGTATGAGCGCCTCTCCTCGGCTGGGGGCACTTCTAGCCAGTCTCTAGGGGAGCGGATGAACAAAGCCACAACAGGCCAAGGACGATCTTCTGAATACCCTACTTACAAATGTCACTGATGTAACTGTAGCTTCTACCATCAAAACTGCATTCTTAGTACACAGATAACTCTCAAAGTGGGATTAAAAATGGGACCTTTCTCCTCCCCCTAAATGTGCTATGTTTCCAAAACCTCATAGTGAATTTCAGAATATCCAGAGACAACCAGTCTATCTGGACTCTGCAGTAAGAGGGACAATGAACACACAAAGATGACATTCCTGATACCCAGGCCATGTGAACAGGGGTGTTTTTTTTTTGTTGTTGTTGTTTTTTAAATTAGATCTTTTAACTATAATAAACGGTGGCCTTCATTTACAACCTCTGTGGAGCAGCTCTGTTATATAGTTCCTTTCCCTGGGTACAGACCCTCTTAAATGAAAGAGAAAAAAATAAATCAAACAACACTCTATTAGGAAGAGACAGGTTAATAACAGCTGCTGCTCTTTCCCAGAGGGCAGCTGACATGGACTCCTGGCTCCTAGAGGAGCCAGGGCCACGCCCAGAACCCAATGGGCTGGACTGCCAACTGCCCACTTCACTCCCTGCTCTTCACGTCTCCCTTGATGGTGACCGCTTTGTTGGTTTGCATTCACATGAGAAAGCTTGATTGTTTTTTCTCTTTTTTTTTTTTTGAGACAGAGACTCACTATGCAGCCAGGGCTGGCCTGGAACTCCTGATCCTCTTCTCAGTCTCCAGAATGTTGGGATCACAGGCAAGACATGTCCCACATGTCTGGCCTTGATTTCATAAAAGAAATTGGATTATACTAATCAGCCTTTAGTCCTGGTGCTAAGCAATTACATTAAACATTTTGTTTTCCTTTGGTGGATGTGTGAAGGGAAGCAGAGGAAATGAAAACAGAATGAATAACATTACAGCAAAAGGTTATTACAAAGACACACTTTATAAAATTACAGGTAGCTTTATGCCAATTAAAAAGATTTAAAAATAGTCTGTTGTTAAAAAAACAAACAAACAAACAAACAAACAAAAACCCCCCACTATCCCTGCTCTGAGTACCTGGCTCCTGGGATTTCCTGATCCTGCTGTGAGGGTGATGGTGCCACAGACAGGCTGGGCTCCTTTCTATAGAGCGTTAGGATTTGCACGGTGGGTGTCAGCGGGATACACTTACTGCTCTGTACATCAATGATGGCAGTAATAAGCCAGACTGAGCTCAATCAAAAATTTACTATGAAGTATGACACACTGTAAGAACCTTTGTAAATGCTGCAATGCACCCTTAACCAGCGTAACAATAAAAAAAAATTTCTATGCTTTTTGTGGGGTTTTCCTATTCTTTTCCTATAGCCTAGCTTCGAATGTTAATAGATGTATGTAACAGTGTATCTTCACCTCACTTTTATTAATGACAAAGAAGGATTTCATCACTATAGGTTAGCCAGCCCCTCTCTGAGAGAGGGCATTCTTTAAAATAAGGGTTCTCTACAGATGATGTCATATATGCTCCACTGGGATGAATGATGGATTTCCAACTTGACCTTGAACAGCAAGGTTATTTAGTGGTGTTAAAAAGATCTTTTAGAATAGAAAGTGCTGACATCACCTCCTCACTGACAGCTAGCACTGTAAATTTGTGACCTTTCGAGTCAAAGGTTGGGCAGCATGTGTTAAGAGAATCCTCTGAAGGGATTTCCCAAGTTCCATGCCCTGCTAACAGGAAAGATCTTGGCCTCAATATTCCATGGCTAGTCTTTTACTTGGTTAGTCATTCAACGTTGCATCTACTTACAGAATTCATGGTTTACATTTATAGTTTCTAGTATATGCTACTTCTAAAAAGGATTTTAAAAGACTCTTGATTAAAAACAGACATGGCACAGACTTACAAATAAAGACTTCAAGTTTATTAAATTGTTTGTCTTGCCTATAAAGGTCAAAATTATTAATTTATAGTTCTACTGGTGCAATTTTGTAAATGCCAAACTGCTCATTAAGGATGTTTCATTCTTGAAACTTACCTAGAAGCACAACAAAATGGACCACTTTTGGTCAAAAGTCAAATAAGCCTGTAGAAAAATTAGTGTGCTTCCTAGAGATAGGAAACCATGACTAATTCTAGAATAAACACCTTCCCTAAAAAGACAGCTACACAGATGTGTGTAGAGGGTTGTGGGGACACAGGTATGAAGAAAGATACATTCTGAAATGTAGTAAATATTAAGTTATTTCTCATGCATTTGATATTTGTAATCGGGAGTCTATTGAAACTACTCACTTTATGCTGATCAATGAGAGTCCTGAGAGCATCCTCGTCGTCTGGGAGAACACCATGGAAACGCAGGGTTTGCTCTGCCTCGGCCAGCCACTCCAACAGAGCATGCACCACCGAGTGAAACTCCTCTGCCTACCAGTTCACACGTAAGATTCAGAAATACGCCGGTTAGCAAAGTTCACAGAAACGAATAGTGGCCTCTTCCCCTTCATGACATAAGTCTTAACTTGAAATTCTGCACATCACTTGCATTAAAAAGGTAAAGATACATGGTGTTGCATTTTGCAAATGTAAGGACATGTCATACACCAAAACAGCCTGCACGAAGACTAAGGTGCCATTTTAACGACTTGGGTTTAGGGGAAGGCAGCCCAGCTTGTCATATTTTCAAACTGAAAAATGGCTCAGGCAGAATTTCCATGGGAAGGCAGCAGCCCTCGCTCTGTGAGTCACTTAAATTTGAGGGAGTCAGGAGGAGGCTCCAGGGGATGCTGCCATTTCATTACAACTTGCTTCCTCCTGACTCTGGGTTGGAACTTCCCAGTTCTTCCTGAGAGCCAGCCTTGCTGAGCAAGGCCTAGTGCCTCTCTGGCTACACCCAGCTGTCACCAAGGGCTTTACCTGGCGCAGAGCAGCCTCTAAGCGAGTCTGCTTCGATACAGAGAGCGCACACACGGTCTCCCAGCGCGTGCTCAGTTCCTGCATCTGGACCTTGACCCAGGACGGGTCATCCCGGCTGCCTTCGATGAGCTCTCGGGCAGAGCGCTTCAGGGCCTGCACACTGCTGGTCCTCTTCCCCAACTCCTTTTGGAAGACCTAAGATGACCATATTTTTTAAAAAGTTAACTTTTAATTATAAACCCCAACAACAAAACATACTGTTTAAAATACAACATGTAGAAAACATCACATGCAGACATCTAAGACCTACAACGTAAAGACCATGTTTCTGGCAGAATCTTCAGTGAGAAATGACCCACTGCTCCTAGTTGATCAACGTTAATGTCTTATATAAATTTGTTTAGTTTTTACTCTCATGATGGAACAAGATATGAATACCTTATTTTTTAAATGACACATTGGATTCAACCAGTGGTGGTTGTACTTCTTTACATCAGTTCCACACAGACATACACACAAAAGGCATCAAACTCATTTTTATTACATGAGCCTTTTAATGGGGTGTCCCAATTCCTCTCAAGTCACTAGTGTAAGTACCACATGCCTGGAGTACTGGCTACCATACCTCTCCAACAGACACACTGAAAAGACAAACTATCCTGCAGTACATCATGGGCTCTTGACACAAGGACAAGGAATCACACAGAGAGTTGGCATGAGGTCTACAAGGTACCTCACCTCAATAGTATCCTGGGTACTAATCCATAGTTCCAAATTCTTATCTGCTGTCTTAGCGGAAAAGTGTCGGGGCTTTTCCCTGCCTCATTTGACGTGCCAAGAGTAAAGCTGGCTTCCTTTGGCTATAGACTTACTCTAAGAAGTGAGCCTGGGGTTCTTCATTTCTGATCCAAGAGCCTGTACATAAAACTAGATGGTTCAAATAACCAATCTTCTGTCTAGAATAAAGATAATTTCTTTCTCAAAAAAAAAATATCATCATGAAAGGGAATGCATCCAAAATAATCCAAAATGTGATGAATTCTTTGACTAAGTTCACTCTAACAGCATCAAATAAGATGTACATACATGCAAAAATACACACGTATGCAAAAATACACACACGTGCACAAAAGGCACAATATCTGAACTGACCATTTGTAAAAAGGACTCATCCCATAGCTCTGAGCAGACCTTCCAATGTACTTCCTGAGTCTTCCAATTGTGTTACTAATGCTAAATGTTTAATTCATTCTTCATGACCTTTAATATATTAAAAGAGTCTGGCAAGTGTCTAGGGTGGTAAATATTTAGAGAGTGAGCTTATAAAAATGCCATTTATGTAAAGAATAACATTACACTATTCATTACTCAATGAATGAGGGCCAGGAAATGGAAAAGTTTGTATTAATCATGCACAAAAGCATTTGTTTCAATATAAGCACAGCAATGGACTTTTTTTAAAAAATTGAAATTTTGTGACCCTCATCAATGTTCTTTATTTATTCTTGTATTGTCTGTTAATATTCAAGCATAACAAACTCTCTTTTATGAGTATAGCTGTAAAATAGAAACAGAAGAGAGAAAATAATGTGCGAGAGGACCAACTATTTTTAAAAGATCAGGTAATGTCAAAATAGCATTGCTAGAGAAGTGTAAAGAGAATCTCTTAAAATGAAATAAATTTTCTGAACTCAAAAATCATAGGGAAGAAACACATTAGGAACTCAGGTAGACTGTTACAGGACACTTGTACATAGGGTCAACTCTGGTCCATCCATTCTACGTTAGGACCATGCTTCCTGCTTCTCGTTGTTTCTATTATTCTTTAAGTTGTACCTATCCTCTGGTCATACTTTAAGTCTCAGACTTATTAACATCTGGACACCTCAAATACATCCTTGACATTCCAAACAGTTTAACAAATGCATGAGGAGATTGCAAGGAGACCAATTTTCTTGAAATAAACAGCAAACCCCTCATAGCACAGGCTGTTGACTCAAATTGCTACAGCTCAAGAGACAAAGTTAAAATGGTTTTCTGAAGAGAAGAGCATCTAACCATGACCTCCATGGGTCAAACCAGAAATCTATACACTTAGGCAATGACCTGGTTCCAGGTCACCGCATGAATGATTTTAACTCTTATTACGTAATTGTTTAGATTAATAGCTAAAGACAGTAAAACCTTCTTGACACATGCTTTAAAGTGCTAGAGAAAGTAATCTCTTATCACATCCTAAGATGGTTTTAGACGTGGTAATTACAGACAACTGTGTTTCACTGATAACCAAAGTAATTTTCCCCCATCACTTTTAAAGTTGGCTCCCTGGTTCTGCTCAAATGTACACATATTTCACGATTCTCAGGATAACCAAACACCAAGGCAAAATAAGCTGTGCAGATAGCAATACCTTATGGTTATCGACCAGATTCATCACCAAATCAATGTCTCCGTGGACAGGCTGGTCTTCTGCCAGCTGGGGCTCAACTCTATACAGCCAATCAATGAGAGCCTGCAGGCATCTGTGAATTGTCCAGAAAATAACAGGGCTTCCTCCAATTTGTTTTGTCTGGAGGAAACAAAAGGTGAAGCATTTAGTCTTAGTAAGCAGCCCTTACATCTGTGATCAGCTGGCGTGCATTTATGCAGTTGGGTGGTACTCAAAGGGAAGAAGAGTGATTTGTATTCACTGCTCCTTCTCTGCTCTCCTTTGAAAACAACAAAACGCCTCAAATTTCCCTTTTCACCCTTTAGATACATGGCATCTATTACGGGACAATTCCCTTACTACCAACTTTGGAAATCACCAATCCTTCATGAAAACACGTTTTAATTAAAAAAAAAAAAAAAAAGAGACTACAAGTGTTTTTAAAAAGCCAGACAACAAACATGCCTTTCCAAATATTTTAACACACGTATAGACTCGTGTAAGCCAAGGTACGGAACTGCTTCGTTGTTCCTGAAATCTTCCTCCTGGTACCTCTTCATAGTCACGCCCTGCCCCTAACCTCTGGCATTCTGCCATGTGTTTCATGGCACCGAACTTTTTTGCTTTTTAACATAAATGTCACAATTGAAATCCTTTAAATGACATTGTTAAAAGGATGTAAAATTCTGACACTGGTGAAGTCAAGACTTTTTTTTTTTTTTTTTTCAAAAACAAACATCACAAAACTCATTGTGAAGTTCCCTAGAACTAAATACAATGTTCCGTTTAATATTGATATGGGTTGAGAATCCCGATCCAAATATCCAAAATCCAAAAGGTTCCAAAACCTGAAACGTTTTATGCATTGGTATGATGCTACAAGTGGAAAGTTCCAACCAAAAAAACTTGGTTCCATGCACAGTATTATCAAAAATAAAAATGACCTTTAGGCTCTGTGTATATGAAACAAATATTCCCAAGATATCTCATTATATATATGCAAATATTCCAAAATCAGAAAAAATCCACAATCTCAGTATTTCTGGTCTCTAACATTTCAGATAAGGGATATTCAACCTTTCTACCAAAAGTAAGTAGAAGTAAGGGTCAATGAAAAATCTGAAAACATTTATAAAATATCTGAGCTCTTCTATTAGTATTGGACTTTCTTAAACACTTGAATGCACCCCTTTATAAAAGCATGGTAAGAAGGAGGGAGATAGGAAAAGAATGGATGGAGGCTGGAAGGGAATGCTGGGGGAAGATCAGTAGGGAGCCCATGTTTCATATCATACCCAAACGCACGTTACTAAAGGGGATGTTGCAGAGACATAAAAATATCCGTCTAGGTTTACAAAGCCATCCTAGTAGGGATGTGGAAGTCTGACTGAAGGGGCAGTAAGAGCAGGGAGACAGCTGGCCAAGTCAGGTGATGACAGAGCTCGGAGAAGGGTGTCATCGCTTATTGTGAGGAGCAGTGAAGAGTCACAGTAACACAGCGAAGCCTTCCAGTGCAGGGGCTGTGTGGGGGTATCTAGGGTGAGCAGACGTCCGGAGGAGAGGACGTATTCAAGGTTCCTCCACTCCCAGGCATGTGGGGAGGTCTACAAGATCACCATGCTGCCCGACGGGCCACCCTACCTTTCCACAGACTTGCCACAGATGGTGTCCCACTTGTCTCTGAGCTCACTCAGCATGTCGTCCAGTTTCAGGTTGTCGTCAGCCAGGGAGGTCTTCTCCTTCAGAGAACGTCCGGTTCGGTTGGTGGTGTCGTACACAGAGTGCTTGGCTCCGAGCGATTTCTGAAACTCCTATGTAAGTGACAAGAAAACAGCACAGGTTTGGACTTGGGACTAATAAACACGTGGATAAAAGGCGTTAAAAGAGCAATCTTTTTCTAGACTTCTCTAGCTTTAGTATGCAATATTATTTTCACAAGACTACGGAGCATCCACGCTCAGGTTCAAATAAGACATTCTGTTTTGAGAAGGAGGCTGATGTGCTTCCATCAGAGGGGAAGGTATGGCAGGAGCTGTTGTCTGTCACTGGGCTTCCACGACCGGATGTGGCAGCTCACAGGAAGAGGCTGCCGCTGGACCAGCCATTCCTGAGCCCTTGTTCGGCCAAAGAGCTGGTGCTCGTACATTCCCTCCCTCATCCTCTGGTCAAGCATCCAAGGAGAGACCTACAGGCGGAGGCGACTGACCCGTGTCAAGATGAGGGCTACAGTTTTCTACGGCAACTCGTCCATCGTCCCATTTCCCTAGCCTTTACCAATGGTCACATTTCAAACAGTGATTTAAATGTAGAGTCCTAAAACTGTAAAACTGTTTGTAGGAATCACTGTCCTTTCAACTTGGTCACCCTGACGACTGGTGGTCACTTTACAAGCAGAATTATAGAGTGAGGCAAATTCAAGAGAGTTGGAGGGTAGGTGGGGATGCTCTCTGAATGTCGTGTGGAAGGAAAAGAAAAGGGTAAACATTAAAAAAAAATGACAATGTTTCTACATACTTTTAGTCTACACAAACAAGCCACTGTGTATCTTCCAGGATAGGTGTGGGATTTTATACATACACATATATATATAAAACACTACCACTTCCTATGTAGTATCTATTTTTCTTGCTTCACTGTTTAAAAGAATCTTTATAGCTGGGTGTCAGTGGCTCATGCCTGTAAGCCTAGCTATTTGGGAGGCTAAGATTGGGAGGATGAAGTGTCAAGGCCAGTGGAGCAAAAAATTTCACAAGACTGCATCTTGGAAAAAAAAGCTGAGCATGGTGTCACACACTTGTCATTCCAGCCCCAAATGAGAGGATCACAGTACATGCCAGCCTGGGCAAAAAGCAAGACCTTATCGCAAAACCAGAGCAAAAAGGGTGAGAGGCATGGCTCAAGCAGTAGAGCTCCTGCCTAGTAAGCATGAAGCCCCGAGTTCTAACCCTCCTAACCACCAAAAGACAAACTAACAAAAACCTCTACTACAAACATCTGTGTTAGTTTTTATTTTTGATTTACATGAGGTCTTGTGGTGTTGCCCAAGCTGGTCTCTAACTTGAGATCTTCCTGCCCCTGTCTCCCAAGTAAGCTGGGATTCTATGCACATACCACTGCACCTGACTCTCACATTTTCACTACAGGATTACTTTTCAAGGTGGTATTTGGTTTATGAAAAAAATTGTCTGACAAGACAGCTGCTGTGAAAAACTAAAATGTCAATGTTCAAACCACCACAAACCCTTTATATATATCTGTGTGCGTGTGTGTGTGTGTGTGTGTGTTTAGGTTGGAGAAGACTTCCAGTTTTAATTTTGTTTGACTTTTTTTAAACAATTAACTCTGAATCATTAATGAATGAGGCAATCACTACAAATAACGACATTATTGACCAACGTGAAGGGGAACGGTTTTTGGAAGTGATCTTGAAATACACACTCAGACATACACTGTTCTTAAGAACAGACCCACCTTGTGCTGTGCAAGTTGTGTTTTTATCTTGTCTGGGTCATTGGCAATTTCCAGTTCAGAATCCAAAGACTTTTCTGACTCTTCTAGCCACTCCATAAGTTTACTCCAAGCTTCGTGGAACTGTAAAAGAAATCCACATCTTTGTCCAGCAAAAATTGAAGTGTACTGTTTGAAATTTCTAAGTGGAAGTTAGTTTTAACAGACATGCAGAAGATCATTAATTAATTCTGTTTAGGAAGAAAAAAAGCAATGCTCTCATCAGCAGATTACACAATGACTTGATAAGGCTTCAACGTGTGGCATCTGTGGTTCTGTTTGTCATCCTCTGCTGTAATTCATCAGCACATCAGCTTTCATAACAACAGGAATGAGTCTAGAAAGAGTTAAAGAGCTCCAGGGAGAATTCTTGCCCTTCCTTCCCTTTCTTTTTGCTCAATAATTAACATAAACTCTCAGATTTGTTTGGTTTGGTTTGGTTTTTGGTCTACTATTGTCCCTTGACAGATCTGAGTTTACTTATAAGGTATTTAACTCCTACATTTAAAAAAAAAAAAAAAAAGAACCAAAGGGAAGGGAGGAGTATAAAAATTGTAAGTTGTTTTTGAAAAGTAACAAAAACAAAAAAGAGGCCATTTCATTGTTAATACAAAGACAGTTCAGTATCTTCACTGCTATCAAAAATCCTCAAATGCTTACTATCTCGCATGTTCACACAAGTAAGTATCCATGACACTTAATTCTGGTAACACTTAATTCTCTTTACCATCTAGAGCCTCACAAATATTCCGGGTGAATATTTCATTTCAGCCACTGTCTCTTTTCTGTTTACCTTACAGAAGAATGACTGGGTACTGATTCTGGGTAGCAAACTGTGAAATCAATTATAAGTTTTTCCTTAAAGCAAACTTAAATGAAGAGATGCATAATCAAAGATAAAGCAATAAGCATAAAACCCTGTGCAGCACAGCACAGCAATAATGCAGTAACACAAAGATGTGTGACAGTGACAGCACGATCCAGGCATGGCACTGCAGAGCTGCAAGGGTCTGCTGGAGGTCACCTCGTTACAAACCTTCTCTCTCCCTGCCCTGACCAGCACCCCTCATCCCAGCAGGACTAGTCAATTTAAGTGTGAAAAAAAGCAAGGCCAAGATAGGCACACAGAATGCCAAAATCAGAGAACGATGATCAACATCTGAGCCAAAAACTGAGACAGAAGAAAGAAAGAAAGAAAAGAAATAGCTGGAGCAGGTGCTAGGTAGTCTGATTCTAAATAACGGACACTGTAATGGGTAGGTGGCCATTTCAGTGGTACAAATGCACAGGTTCCAAGACTGGTCGTCCTTTCAAAACTATTCTTAAGCCCTCTGAAGAGAGGAAATGCTGTCCATTTGCAATAAAACAATGGAAAATCCTTAAAGACTGGTGAAAATGAGATAATAAAATGGATTAAGTGGAGAAAGGAGGAAAAGGGTAAGCTATTGAATGCACCCAAGAAACCTCTGCAAGTCAGATGCCCATAGCTCAAGAAATACCTGCTCTACTGATGGCTCCGTGCCACATAACATGCACAGGAGAACACCAGGGGTAGAATGGACCCTCTCAAAGAAGCCCTAGAGACCCAAGCGATTCCAGAGACTCACTTGTAATGTGAAGGTGTCATTCCTACCACTGAAAAGGGATACAGTCCTATAATAATGCAGCCTGTCATTTCTAAAGCCCTTAAAAGTTTATACTGTTGACTTTAAACGTCTGGCTCCCGTGACAGCTTTCTGCATCACCCAAGTGAGCCCAGTTCACTACAACATCAGTGCCAGACAAAAGCAACTGAGTGAGTCAAAAAGAGTAATCATAAAATTCAGCCTCAATATTACACTAAGTTTTCAATAAAAAAAAAAAAAGAATCATGCCTGGCATTGGTGGCTCTTGCCTGTAATTCTAGCTACTCAGGGGGCAGAGATCAGAGGATCACTGTTCAAAGCCAGACCGGGTAAATAAGTTTTGTGAGACCCCCATTTTGAAAAAAACCCTTCATGAAAAATGGCTGGTGGAGTGGCTCAAGGCGTAGGCCCTGACTTCAAGCCCCAGAACCTCAAAAAAAAAACAAAGTAAAATGCCCAGGAAGGGGGTATATACAGGGAATATACAGAGATGTATCATTTACTCCTTTGCTGTGTTTAGTCTAGAATGAAATGTTAATAACAGGTAAACACAAAGGAAAGGTCTTCAGGAGGTTGGTGAGACACTCTGGGTTTAACAACCAAACAGCCCCAAAAGATTCAGAAGATTTCAAAGTGACATGGAGCTGCGCCAAAATCTTCAGGACAAAATGAAGGCCTGTCAGCAAGGGTTCAGAAAGGCGAGGGGTGCCAAACAACTTGGACCCAGACCAGGCCCTTGGCAAGCCATGTTGGGGGCTGCTTGTCTGACTTCTGGCTCTGATCATTTGCTTAGGAAGCAAACAAAAGTTAACAATATAATAAAGTCCGTCATGTCAGTCTGAGCACGAGACGAGAGGTTGAACGGACCAGGCAAAATGAACACTCAGTCAGAAAAATTTGGAACTTTGCAGGGGAGGAGGAAGGGAGGCTTCATGACAATGACCCAGGGATGAAGTCACACAACAACCAGTCTTTCAAGATGAGTCCCCAGGGCCTGAGGCTGCTGCAAGCCAAGGGGTGATGTCAGCACCCAAAGGTCGAACCCATCTTCCCAGGAAATAAACATCTTCCTCCTGATGGTGACACCTAATCCAACCTGCAATAAAAGTACTTTATGGGTGTACATTTCAAGAGCTACAACTGGTTTATCACCAAGCTGAGAGAAATGCTATAAAGGCTGATCACCTGCTTGGCCCTTTTCCTCGCGTCATCCAAAGATCTTCCCCTTTCAACCAGCCTCTGAACGACCTTCTCCCACCGACTCTGCACACTGATAAGTAGATTCTTAATTAGGACAACGTCTTGTTTCTGACTGAAATACTTCAGGTGGGTTCCAGTTTTGTCCAGTTCTATTATCTGCTCACGGTGAGAATTGACTTCGTTGGCAAAGACCTTAAAAGCACACCCGCCAAAAGGACACAATTAGAAACAAGGAAACAAAAAGGATCAATCTTAAAAAAATGCTTCTGGTGTCTTAAGGCTCATGTTTCCAAGGACAAAAGAGAGTTTTCAAATGACCCAGTTCCTGCTTCTGACACTGGAATGGCCTGACGTGAGTCACTGCATACCTTGTGTTCATCAATCTGAAACAAGACTGTGTCCAAGATAAGGCTTGGCCGTGAAGCCACGTTCAGGGTCTGCTCGGCCTGTGTGAGCCAGTTGATAAAGTCCTGCAGGGAATCGTGGAACTCCATCGCCAAGCTGAGGGCCTCTTCCAGCTTCGTCTGTGAAGACAGATTATTTAGTAAGAAATCACGGCACTTGGGAGTCTGGGCGATTGTCTTTGTTTCAATTTAGTCATTTCTGGAAGGCTCCTTTCTCCTCCCCCTGTCTGCACAGTTCTTACACTAACCAACTAGCTCGTTAGTGCAATGGACCTCCAGTAAAACACAAACCCTGGGCAAAGCAAACCCCTTGAGACTTCAGGAGCAACTCATTGCAGCCACGAAATACTTCACGCTCACTAAACTGTATTTTTTTTGGCATTTAACAACAAAAGGCCCCAAGTTTACTAAGTAGAACCCATAAAAAGAAAAACTGACATACAATTAATTGTTGGGGGTCACAATCCTATGGAATATATTTTCTGCTCAGCCAATAATGACCTAAAATTTATAATTTCAAGCATAATTTTTTCTTACACTAGGAAACAGAATTACTGAGATTTCTTAGATTGTTATTCTGTGGTTTTTAAAAAGTGACAAAAATTGTAATGTAACATGAATTGGAATCCCTTTCTCATCATTTTTATGTAAGTGCTTATAAAGTAATCACTACCACCTCACCCCCGTTCTCCCTCTTTGTTTAGTAAGTGTGATGAATAGAATTACTTAACAACATAGAATTTGAGTGGTTTATAATATTTAAAAATGCATGAATAACATCTGTGTGATCTGTGTGATACATCTTTATCTATACCGAAGAGATCCCTTTAGCTCTGTCCTCATGTTAGACTACTATTTTCAAAACACCCCAAATGTATACCAAACATGTGTAGACAGGAACCATTACAAAGTTCTACTCTTAAAAGTTCTACTCCGAAATAAAAACAAGCAAAAAACGCTGGTTCTATGATGGCAATCAGAGCACATACTTTCCTTTCGTTGAGCTTGCTTTCCACGGATTCCCACTTCTCTTTCAAGTTATTTATGTCCTGGTCAATGTTGGTCTCTGCTGACTTGGGACATCTTGCAAGCATCTGCTGGCCCTTCTGCATCAGACTCCTGTACGTTTCTTCTTTAACGTCAAAGGCAGCGCAGAGTTCCTAAATTGAAATACCCTCAAGTTACAGGACTTTCAAAGAACGAAATCTATGGGTTCCATTTGTCAGGCCATCTACCCCAGGCCCCTCGTGATGTATCTATTTATCTTTCTGACACACAGTTAAACTTTCCACTCCGTAGAAACAATGCCTATACCTGTAAGGCCTAACATGTCCACTGAGAAATCCCAGAAACGGAGCTCTCATTGTCAAGGCATTCTGGATGGCCCAGGTTTGAAGTGAGCTTATCAGACACTGTCAAGAAAGGTTTCGCTGTACAGGAATTAGGCAGCTCTGTGACCTTGGGCAAGTAATTTAACCACTATGAACCTTGATTTCTGCCCCTGTAAGCTGAGGGGTTCTTCTAACTCCTTCCTTGTACTGTGATGCAACTGCAGTAAATGTACTGATATAACTTAATCCTGGGCTCAGAACACATGAAAGCAAAGATACAGAATAGAAAGACAAGACTTATAGGTTGATTGTTCACGCTCTCAGTTACAAGAGCTGCTGCACTTGTACTGCTGACTGTCATTCTGGTTTCTGGCATTTTCAAAGCCTCAGATCAGAATGCAGTGTGTATCTTCTATAAAGAATGTAAGAAAATACTGCTTAAACAAAAGGTAAGGTCAATGAAATAACCATCATAATGCATTTAGAAAATTAAGACCAGTTTCACTCCACCAATTCAATTATAATGTGAGTCAAACCACAGTTACCACTGAAAAATTATACTTATGCCTTATTAATATTTTCATCCTTATAATTAAAAAATTGATACATAATTCATACGCCATAAAACACACTACTTTATAGAATTCAGCATTTTCAGTATATTCACAAAGTTGTATGACTATTACCACTAATTCTAAAACAACTTCATTATTTCAAAACCATGTAATTTCTTCAGTCTTTGGGAAAAAAATCTAGTCTCTTTCAAAGCAAATTTACAGTATCACCTACTAAAAGCTTTAAATCCTAAAGCAAACCTTTTACGTATAGCTAAACTCTTTCTGTGTCTATGTGTGTGCGTGGATGTACATATGCATGTATGTGTATCTATATACATATATGTGTATAAGCTGTAATAGTTTAGATTTTTTTCATTTCATTTCTAACACAGCCAGATCAAAAGAACATGACTGAAATGGTATTTCAAACATCAGTAACCCCTGAGTTATTATTTAGTCCGTTACTTGGTCAGTGAAACAAATGGGTCTCTTGTGGCACCAGAAAACCACAATAAAATGGATAGCAAAATACTAACCCATGTAACAGTTTTCTAAAATAATGAGTATACCTTAAGAGAGTTCTACGCAGTTCTACACTGGATGACAGGACTTACGCCAGCTGTTCAGGGCTAACTGTGAAATGAGTAAGTGCTAGCTAGCATAGTCTATTTTGTTTTCTCACAACATCTACTAAGACAGTCATTCTCCAAGTTACCAAATTCAGAACTCTCCCCAAATAAGTGTGGTTTTACTAAGGTGTCACAGCGTTAGACTTCTACAAGAGTGCAGACTTCGTGTACCCATGCTTTGGTCCAAATCCCTACTTCTCCAGCTATAATGATCAATACTGAGTATTTTAAAAAAACAAATCAGATGCAAATTCACAGGGGTAAAAATCAGATGAACAGCTTTCAAAATCTGAAGGCCTGCTTTGTCTCAGAACTCTCAGAGCTGACATGATTAGGAAATGTCAAATAAGTCAACAGGCTCTAAATTTAATGGCAGTCAGACTTCTAGGAAAGAAAGCCAGCTTCAAATGTCATTCTCAAGAGTTGACAGCACCAGAGGATCTGGGTGGGCAGAGCCAGGAGGCACAGGTGTGAAGTTGAAGATAAAGCATTAAGGCAAACAAATACTTTTAAGAGAATAAGAGCAATTTCCAGTTCTCCATGAAACCAGACGACAGTATCAAGACAATCGTTTTTAAGTCTAATCCGATTTGCTCGTTTGTTTTCGAAGACAGTGTCTCACATAGCCCATGCTGGCCTTGAACTCGAGATCTCCGGCTTCAGTCTCCCAAACGCTGAGGGTAACAGTGTGTGCCACCATGCCTGGACCAATCTGATTATTTTGGAGATTTTTTTTTCTTCATTCTTCTAAGGTACAACAGTTCAGAACCTGCACGATGTGGTATTACTACCCTTACAAGCCTTATCACTTTGCGGGGGAAGGTTTGCTTCTCAAAGAAGTCTAGACTGCTAAAACCTCTTTTCCTGTGCTGGCACTAACCTTTGACACAGGTTCTGACGTGAAAAGTTTAATCACTAAGTCGCGATGTTTCTAGCACTCGCATGGGGTGTTTTCTGCTGTAAAACTATGGTTTAACTGTGTCTCCTGCCATTCGCATTTGCACATCACCAGAGCTCGCACACAACGTCAGCCTGCTAACCCAGAGCCCGAGCTGCAGGGAATGCTGTACGCACCACATGGACGTTAAGCTGCTCCCTGGCTGTTTCGGGTAAGCCTCCCAGAGGCTTCGAGGCCAACAGGTGCCGCTCCGTGTCGGTGAGCCACTGCTGCAAATCCTCGATTTCACCATGGAACCCTTTGGCCTGAGGGGAGAGGAGTTTTAAGTCTGGGCCATAGGACACTGCCACTTTCAGGCAGAAAACCGGGATTAAGCTGCTCAGCCTCTCTCTGCTTTGGTAAGAAAGCCAGCGGCACAGAGGAGCCTGCTTTCCTCCCACCCCAGGAGGGCTCAGCAGGCAAGCGCGTGATGCTAAGAAGTGGGCTGCACGGCCTTCCCCTCTCGCTACTGTTCCGCCTCTCCTGCCCGTGTAAGAGTTAAACTGTGCGAGAAGTCTCTGCCATTTTGGTTTTGCACTCTCAGCAAGTCCTGCTCACCTGGCGCAGGGCGCCGTCCAGCTGCTGCTTCCTCTGCCCTGTTTTCTCCAGAACGTTTTGCCAGCGCTGGTTTAGAAGCTCCAGCTTGTGCTGCAGGTTGCTCGCTTCCTCTCCCGCGCTCGATTCAATGAGACCCTGTCCTGCTTTGTTGACGGCTTCCACTGTGGACTGATGGGCTAAGACGTCATTTTGGAGCACCTGAAAAAGTGTCGGCTAGTTAATGAATTTGGTTTTATTTTCTGCTTGTGAAGTATTCTGACACAAAAAACCTCCTAATGGAGTTTTAATGTCAGGTTTTAAAATGGACTTCCTGTCCTTCAATTCAAAGCTTTCCTACATATGTCTTAGTCTCCCCACATCCCCGAAAGGACCATGTAAGGACACTGGCTAGTCATTCCCACCAGCGTGACCTTGCAATGACATGCTAAATATCCAGAGAGTATAATTAAAAGGTTCTTATATTTTTCATTTGATTCAAGCTTATTTTAATTGAAGTTAATTTTCATGTCTGAGTAACTAAGAGGAATTTTTACTCCTTTTTATGCATTTTCAAATATGAAATAACCATGTCTAAGACCAACAAATTCTGCAATTAGCATTCTGAAAGGGAAGAAGGTAGCCACAGGGATGCCAGAATAACTGCTAATTCTAAAGGAATCTTTTCTGTACAGGTAGAAGAGTTCACGATACTGTAATCCTCCTACCCCACGCTCATCGACTCAGGGTTGGTGACAATGAAGAGAGAGAACAGCCACCCTCGTCCTAGTAAGACACTACAATCTGGGGGGGCATCCCAACCAGGGAGGGTTTCAGGGAAGAGCAGCCACTTCTGGGAGCACCATTTCTCTGACTCTTCACTCCTTTCAGAGGCATCTGGTGAAGCAGTGTTTTCGAAAACCAATGGAGTAAGGAGTTAACTTTAAAGAAAGCACGAAGCCTGATATGCTGAGGGTAGGAACCACTCTCTGAAGATGCAAGAGTTTAAAATTCTCCTTGTTCAAGCTGAAAGGATAACTCGACAGGATTTCTTCTGAATGTTCTGAGTTCCACTACACAGGCAGAGCCCAGGAGAGGACGGCAGGAGAGGGACAGAGACATTCCCTTCCTTCCCCCCAGCAACTCCGCTGGAATTCTCACTTTTGATCCTTGGGTCCCTACACATCCCCAGCCAAAATAACTGGATTTAGGTGCCTCTTCCCCGCCCCCCGCCCCAATCTCTATTATGTAATTCATGGCCTCACCAAGGGCGCAGGTTCTTGGAAATGTAAGTGCATCTTAGACCCGTACTGTGAGAATATCTTGCTTCATTTTTATTCAGAGTCAGCCTGACTAGTCATTCCTTGTTACTCCAACCCAGTTAGGCACGACTTACAACACTGAATGATGAGGCGTGCGTCTATGCAACATGCAAAATAAATGCAAAGTCATAATCAGATAAGGCTGGGCAATGACTATCCAGGTGGACAGAATCAGGTAAAGAGGAAGAAAATTTTAAATTAGCGAAGAATTACTGTGGAAAAAAGTATAAAGGCAGAAGAACTAATGCAGGAATAGTTAAAAACTGTAGATTTTAAATCTGCCTTTTAGTTTAAAAAATGTGAATAAATGTCAAATAATCAGTTTCTGTTTGATAATCGAGGCAAATTTCCTGAAGGTTGGGATGGAACTTTGAAGATACTACCATTAATAGAACGTAAAGTCTATGAACCACGTGGAAGGGAGGGTATGTGTTGTGCTGGGCAAAAACTTTTACCTAAGTCAAGTGACTTAGGGATAGGGAGTGACTTACTAAGAATGACCAATCCAGTGTCACAAATATGACATTCAAATTATTCTGCTTATATCTCAAGATAAGAAACTTCCAACTTATAAGCTTCAACTCAAATGAAGGACACATAAAAACTCTTAAATATTATATTTTCAAAAGCTGGTTTAGAAAGTAGTACAATGCAAACAGCCAAAGATAAGAGTAACACAGAGACTAAAGGACAAACTACAATATGAGGGACGCACAGACAGACAGACAGACAGAAGTATAGTAATAGCTGAAGACTATTAATTATTAACATCTAATTAAGAGAGACACAGAGACATGGTGGCCACAGGAAAAGCACAAAACCTGGAGTGGAGGGGAGTATCTCTTTAGGCTATCCCCAACAACTTTTACAAACAGGTGAAGTTAGGGGTCAGGGGCATGTGACTCAAGTGGTAGAGCACCTGCCTAGCAAGCGCAAGCCCCCGAGTTCAATCCTAATCAATACTGCCAACAAACCAAAAGAAAAAATCCCAAAGTTAATTCAATGACAGGTAAAATTAGGGACTTAAGTTTTAGTGCCTGTCATGCAGTCCTATCAAAATTTAGCTGTAAATTTCCCTCCTTGCTGTGTTTGATAACTGCCCTGAACAAAAAGAAAAAGAAATTTCATTGCAATCTCTTCAAAAAAGTGTGTTTCAAGTAGCTTAACACTCCATTATAAATGTGAACTATCAACTGCAGCTAAAACCAAAGCCTGAGAAACGCCTCGAGAAGAAAAGAAGCCTCCAGAGCAAAACAGACGGCACAGAAGCACAGAGAGAAGCGGTGCGGTACGTACGTGATGCTTGGCGAGCTCGATCTCAATGGCTTTCAGGTCTCCTCCGACGGGTTTCTGTTCGCTCAGCAAGCCCTCGGTGTGCGCCAGCCAGGCCAGGAGCTCGTCCAGAGCATGCTGGAACTGACCCAGTGCCAGCAGGGCCCCCTCCAGCTTGTGCTACCGGGAAGCAGAGGGGAAGAAAAGGCACTTATGAACCTGACGCGGTCGAGAGCAAAATCCAATCGTTTCATGCCATCTCAGTCGGAAAGCACACCCCGTGAAGCCCAATCACAGCTTTCTACGTCTTCAGCCTGTCGTTTGTGGTTAAAAAATGGCCCAAGCAGGGGGAGTTCCGATGAAATAAGAGAATGTGCGTGCTTCAAAAGTTTACTTAAGGGCTGGGTGGGGTTGCTCATGCCTGCAATCCCAGCTACTCAGGAAATGGATATCATAGTTTGAGGTTGGCCAAGCCAATAAGTTAGTGAGACTCTATCTCAACAAATGAACCACAGCAAGATGCAGTGGCTACAGATCACGCCTATGATCCCAGCTACTCTGGATGTGGAGAACAGAGAAGACTGTAGTTCGAGGCCAGCCTGGGCAAAAAGTTAGAGAGGCTCTCCCTCCCCCAACTCTGATCACAACCAAACCAGCTGGGTGTTGCAGTACAAGCCTGTCATCCAGCTTTGTGCAGGCCTAAGTAGGACAACTGAGGTCTGAGGCTGGCACTAGGCAGCATACCTGAAAAATAACCCAAAGCAAAAAAGGGCTGGAGGTGTAGCTCAAGTAGAGCACTTGCCTGGTATACCAAGAGCAAGGTCCTGAGTTCAAACCTCAGTGCCACCAAAAAGAAAAAAAAAAGCCAGGCATTGTAGTACATGCTGACAGGTGGAAGTAGGAGGATCCTGGTTGGAGAATGACCCTGAGCAAAAAGCACAGGACCCAGTCTGAAAAATGCATGAAAACCAAAAGGGCTGGGGACATGGCTCCGGTGGTGGAGGCCCTGAGGTCAAACCCCAGCGCCTGACTGTGTTTTTAGTCATCCTTTGACAGTGCAGTCTGGCGCTCACCTGCCTGCTGACGATTCTCTCATCCAGGCCATCCCAGATCACCTTCAGCTCCGTGAGTGGGTCCTGGACTGCGTGCTTGGCGCTCTCCTCCCTTACTCTCTTCAGCAAAAGTTCTGCCTGATGATTCAGTCTTTCCATTTCTATCTGCTGTTGGTAGGCCTCTGACTTAAATTGCTATAAAAAAAAAAGATACATAGGGAATCTTATTTTAATCAATCAGCAACTTCAAACCAAAAACATCCTATGGGTTAGAGTTTTACTCTTAATCTGCATTTCCTACTGGGAAGAGCAAAAGGAACAAAAATCTGGCATAAAGTTTATGCTAAATGAAAGAATATAGACAGAAAAAGGGAAATCATCCTTTAAATTGTGTAATGGAAAGATCTTTCAATTTGTTATCTGGTTAGTTCATATTTGTTTGTTCTCTACAATAAAAAGTCATCAAATTTCAAGGCTGATCTTATTCAAATATCTACATATATTCAAAGAATGAGTTTTGAAAACTATAGAAAATAAAATAAAATAGAGATTAACAGATACAGAACCAGGGAAGCAATGGCTCTAAGACACTTGGCATGTCCTGTTCTAAAACCCCTCCCCCACACATCCCATACACACCCCATACCCCCCCCACACACATGCAGGCACACTCCATGCTGTGCCCAACATGAGGGTGTCTGAAGGTTATACACTGAATCCTAAGAGTAGCTGCTTGTGGGTAAGTAACATTTTGAGTGACCTAGAAAAATTGGTTTTTCTCCTTTTTTGCTGATTGGGATTTTAAAAAAACTTTAATAATAAACAAGTATTAATATAGAGACGACAACTAGTATTTCATTTAATGAGTACTTACTTATCTGCTGCTTACTATAGGTAGGCACTATATTAAACAAGTTTCAAAATCAAAATGTAACACTTCGATTGTGTAAAGTAAATCAGTTTACGTAAGGAGTCTTGTGTCCGAAGAGCTTACAAACTCGAGGACGCCTCTGATAAATCACTCAGTCCTCCATACGCACCTTCAGCTCTTCAATCTGCTGCTTGACAGTCTCAAGGTCTGTTCCCACTGGGGACATGGACGCTAATTTGCTACCTGCAATGTCCACCCAGTCAAACACTGCCTGAAAGACACAATCAGTCACTGTTAGCACAGCACATTTGAAACTGCCACACTGTCTCATGTGTTGCAGAAACGAATCATAAATCTACAAAGACAGCAGGTAATGAGCCTGTTTTATAAATAAAAAGACAGTTCGCCTACATGAAAAGAGCACTGTAAAGGAAATCACTGCCCAGATACAAAGCAGTTATAGCTTCTAGCTCGGCCTCCATGTTTGCAAAAGAAATTCTTTACTGAATACATTATTCGAATACTAAAGGGCTTTCAAAACACGTTCATCTGCAATTTTTTAATAAATTCAATCGCATGAAATAAAATCCCTTGTGTTCTCTTAAGTATAAATTTATTGAAAGGAAAAGACCCAAACTCATCTATACTCCAGTAAGCAGGTTCACCGTTTATTCGGTTCACCTGGACCTTTATATACACCACTTATCCTCTACAAAGGCTCAACTCCTGCTTTTTTCCAGGTACTGAGTAGCTAACAAAATGATTCTGCACGTTAATGAAATTACGACTCTCTACAGTAGGGGAAGAAAAACCTTGGGAAATCTGGGGTATGCTTAAGTTAGCCGTAATCAACCCCGACTAAGAACTTCAGTGCAACCTGGGAAGTAAAGCAGCCCATAATCGGTCAGACCACTGCCTGGTAAGTGAAGCTGCCCCCGCTAGCACAGCCAGCAGACGCTGTGCCAGACCTTGCGTTTCTCACAGCGTGAGGAGTCCATACAGGTCATGGAGTCTCACCTGTGACCTAGATGGCTGCCTTCAGGGGGTGGCAGTGCCACCTCTAGCTACAGAGGATAATGCAACTCAATGACTCACATCACTTCCTAGCCTCACACAAAGAGGGCACTGATTAAAAAGGGTGGGGGGGAAGACATCGTAATTACGTGTTATTTGTATGAATTTTTTCACATGCTTCCAAAGTGTAGCTGCCATGAAGCTGGGCTGGCGCTATTCAGTTTTTACAAACAGAAATGCAGTGCCATATTGAAAAAGGAAAAGTTCTCAGTGGAGCTTTAAAAATAACCTGCACTTAGTGTTATGGAAATACTTAGAGCGAGGCTTTTTCCATATGGTAACAGAGAGGAAAGATTAAACTCCCGCCAGCCGTCAGGGAATGGAGCAACAGTAAGGAGGTAGGAAAAGAAAGACCCTAAGGTGGCCTCAGCTGACAAGAGAGGTTTTAATATTGAAAAGACCAACTTAGAAATGGTCAACGAACCTCTAAGAGAAGTGAAAAACAGCTATTAAAATAATTTATATGCGTGGAAAAAAAACACTTTTGACACATCAGTGTGTGACCCAACAACACAGAAAACTATTTCAGTACACACGGAACACTGGCTTCAAATCAACATTTTTTTTTTTTTTAACTTCTTACTTTAGTTCAACTTGGTAATATTTTTAGATCATGTTTACTCCTTTCCTCTCAGTCCTCTCAACTTTTGAGCAGAGCTCAGAATCAGTTCCATTTCACTGTCTGGTGCTGAACCACTTGTGAAAGATACTGTGTGGGATGTCTACTTTCACTTAAGAACATTAACATATTCCTTTTCCAAGCAAAGTCCACTGTACGTGTGCACAGACACGTGTTGACGTAAATGCACATCTAAACCTGCATGTCTGAAAGGTCAGGGATATCTTCCGAAAGGCAAACCACGAGTCAAAGTAGCTGGAGCCACCAAAGCAATGGCTCTGGCCACGCTTGTGTGCACACGTGCGGCTGTCACAGGCTGCCTCCTTCCCGCCTCACCTGCAGCCCATCCTGGTACTGAACGGCAGCCTGCATGGCGTCTTCTAGTTTGTCAATCCGGTCTCTCCAAGCTTTATTTAGGGAATCCCAGGCAGAATTTAACTACAACACAAATGTTAGAACTCTTTCAGTGTCAGGTTTTAAATTTGTAACTACCTTTCACAAATACAGTTTGGCTAGCCTAACTGTTTAGGGAAGCACTCCAAGAGTAGCAGGCAATAAGGCAGCCGTACCTCATCTATACTCTTCTTCACAATGGGCTTATCGGGTTCTCCGCAGGCGGTGATGAGCTCGGAGCCCAGGTTAACGACTATGTCCAGCTCCTCCTGCAGCCCCTCTATTTCCTCCCGTATGGCCTGGAATCAGAAAGTGAGAGCCTTAGGGTGTTGTGCAAAACCACACTGAAACCAAGAAGGTGTACACAGAGAGGCCGAGGGTGGCTGTCTCTAGAGGTGAGGCTGTGGCCACTTTTCTTTTCCTCCTCTCTCTTCCTAACTTTCTACAGTAAGTTTTCTGAACAAGAAAACAGAATAAATATGTTAAAGGATGTTAAAGGAAAACAGCACCCTTTAAGTAATCAATGACAACTCTTTATGACAAAGTAAAAACAAAGAAATGAGAAACACTATAACAAGTACCAGAACCGAAAATACACAGAGAGATACCTCGTTTTCCAAACCAAGTAGTGTGGCAATATGCATTCAAAACAGACATAAGTAAAACAGGAGTTCAAAGACTTTACACATTTTGATGTACTCGTTAGGAGATTTAGGATAATCTAGCTTTGGATTTGCATTTTCTGTCATTACCCTGCAGGACCTGTCCACGACAATAGAAATGAAGTATCCTAGCTTTGCTTTCATTTCCTTGGCTAAATATATATTCAGTCAATTGACAAACATTTAATAAGCATGAGTCAAGTCCAAAACTAGGCACTGACACAGAAAGAAACATGGACCTGACTATTACCCTCAAGGGGCCCACAGTTCAGCAGGAAACAGAGGCACGGGCAACATGGGTCCTACTACGTGCGGGAGTCTTTGCCTGAGGAAAGTGTTACAGGGACAGAGGGTACACTTAAGAGATGACTGTGTGATTTCCATGGGGGCAACGATGATCCAACTGAGCCTTGAAGCTTGAGTGGGATCTGCCACAAGAGTGGCAGAAAGACCACTGAGGAGAAAAAAATCAACGTGCGAAGGCACAGACAGACACCAGACAGAGTGACACTGCTCTGGGATGCCATCTGCCTTCTGACTGCTGGAATGGAGGAGCCTGGTACGGAAGGGGAAGAGGAGAGGCCTTTGGCAAGGCAGGCACAGGCCGGGCAGGGGGCAAGACACTGCACACCCTGGGAGCCTGGGCTTTCTCTAGGAGACAGCGGGCTTTTAAGCAGCAACACACAAGAGCAGAGAGGACTGGCAGAGAAAGACACTCTTGCTTTGGGTTACTTTGGAAACCAAAAACAGAGATAAGAGGTCCAGAAAAAAGGCAGGAGTGGTGGGGAAATTATTTTTAAAAATACAGTCTCCAAGAGAAATGTGGACGTAGTCTATCTCCTGCTCATCACCACATACCCCGTGTTCTGAACCAGATACCAATTTTCACAGGGTAATTCCTAACAATTACTAAAGGTATTCAGGTTTCATTATGCCCGACTTAGCTCTCCAAGTGAAATGGAGCATTTTGCTAACCTCTGCTGCTTCTTGCTGCTGTTTCACCACGGAGGGGTCAATGCCAGGGTCTTCCAGGTCCCGGATGAAATCCTGAGTGTCTTTAGTGGTGACTACTAGCGACATGTGGTCGCACCAGAACTTTTCCGCGAGTTCCATTACGTCCAGCAGTTTGGCCTCCCTTTCTTCCACCAAGGTGTGTATGTTCTCCCAGATGAAAACCATTTGGTCAAGTTTGTCCCGAACAGCTATGGAGCAAAACAACATCAGGGAGGACACCGGTCAGCTTCATTTAAGCAATGAAACCAAATATGTCAGGTCTCACAGAAAGCAGCTGTGGTTGATGACAGTTTAGTGGGTGTCACTGGGCTCAGGAGCCCATCCCAGACAACACCAGATCTACAGGTCTCCTGTTCCTACGGCATTGAGGCTCTTTCTCACAAAGTGGACAAACTCAGCGTAGACCCAAGTCTATCAGATTTTAAGTTCACCGAAGATGACCTTCAATCCAAAACACAGTAGCCACCTGATTAAGTTTTTTTTTTTTTTTTTTAATTCTCTCCAAATCAAGAATAAAGCTGTCAGTTCAGTCCCCAGGGCAATGTAGAATATGTATTTTTGACTTGCTTTTAAAATACTCTTAGCATGAATTTCTACTCTGATATGCCCTTCCTTTTGACTGCCAGCTCATAGCTCTAAGATGGCTGGCTATGGTTGTGGTTGACCTTATTTGTGGCTCTGGGATGGAGTAGGTGTGCTAGGTAAGACAGAGTAATCAGTAAGGAGAAAAAAAGTATATATCCACCACTCCAGGATTGGCCTTATAAAGCATTGTGCCTTAACCTACTGGTTTCAAAGGTCTGGAGAACCCACCATCTTTGTATAATGGCACACTCAACCAATTTGTATTCAACCAATCATTTCAATAGATTAACTTCACAAACACAGGAAGACATTAACAAGGGATTTATGAACAAAGCCCTTTGACCCTCAACACATTGTATTTGTACTATCTTTTCAGAGATCTGGTATTTTGTTATGTACCTGGACTGTCAGTGAACAGCATGAAAACTTAAGAGTTGACACAAAAGTAAAGGTGAGCTGTTTTGTTGTCCCAAAGCACTACCTTTGGCAGACAAGTCTTTCTCGGTGCCCCCGGATCTAGCAATCATCTCCTCTCCCCTCTGCTTGAGAGTTTCGTACAAGGGCTGTAGTTTCTCCATCTCCACCAACACGTTCTTATTTTCAGTGACCTGCTCCTTGATCTTTTCCACCTCTGCGGAGATGGACGGCGGCTGCCTCAGACGCTCCACCACCCGCTCCAGGCTCTCCAGGATCTGGTCCGTCTTGTCGTGGAACTAGTAGTGAAACAACAGGACCACTTATGAGGGAAGGATGTGGAATGTCAAATGTGGCATTTAAACAAAATAAACAAACAAAAACCCCACTATGCTATTTATTTAATTAAGAACTAAATCTTGGACCCTTTTCTGACATATCCATCCAAAGAGTTCCATGCCTAAAATCCCAACTGTGTTGGAAATAACTGAACGTATTCATTAAGGAATGGTCTAAGTTGGAATATGTTTCATGGCAGTAACCCCATCTCAACCCGTTCTTCATCTTGTCATCTGAATTCACATTAATTTAAAAAATTAAGTTCAATAGGCTTGGCATCATCTATCAAGGTTGAGTGCTGTCTCTTCATTCCTAGTGACTATTTTGACATCTGAACAGTTATTTACTATTAAATGTTAAATTCATGAACAGTTCTGATTAGATTCCAGGGATTCCCTGAGTTGCATAGTTCCTGAGCTGAACAATGTTAAAAATTTAAACGAAACAAAAAACCTCCTCGGAATTTTGCATTTAATCCATGCCAAACGTACATTCAGACATGTAAGATAACTTTAATCAGGCACAGGTGGCTCACACTGTAATCCCCGCTACTTAGGAGGCAGAGATCAGGAGGATCATGGTTCAAAGCCAGCCTAGGCAAACAGTTCATGAGACCCTATCTCAAAAAAAACCCTTCACAAAAAAGGACTGGTGGAGTGGTACAAGGTGTAGGCCCTGAATTCAAGCCCCAGAACCACACGCGCGCGCGCGCACACACACACACACACACACACACACACACACACACACACACACACACACACAAACACAGATAACTTTAAAGTTAGGTTTGCAAAGATGACAAAGGTGTAAATTGCTGCTAATGCAGACTTCTCTACACTGTCCTTAAAGTCAAGGAAGTATCACCTGGGATTAGAGAAAAGGGACCTTCCTAATGTCCTGTGTCTGATGAAAAAGCCAAACCTTGAAAATGGAAAACCTATATGCAATTTCAAAATTCATCTTCTTGACAAACCATATTAAAATAATATGTCCCAAATTATATGCTTTTCCTATTGTGGGTGGGGGCAGGATTGGGATTTGAACTCAGGGCCACATACCTGCTAGGCAGGTGCTCTACCACTTGAGCCATGCCCCAAGTTCTTTTTGCCTTTAGTTATCTTTTGAACAGGGTCTCATGTTTTTATGCACGATGCCAGCCTCGGTGGTGATCCTATTTACACTTCTTGCATAGCTGGGATGACAGGCATACACTACCACACCCAGTTCTTATTTGTTGAGATGGATCTTGCAAACTTTTTGCTCAGGCTGGCCTTGAACTGTGATCCTCCTCACTTCTGCCTCCCTAATAGCTGGGATTACAAGTGTGAGTAGCTGTGCCCTGCCACTTTTCCTTTTTATTTGGCCTATCATTTAGTGTCTTCTCTTATTGCCTTCTTGATTAACACCTTCTTTTACTTCTCCCTATAGCAAATATTATGATCCACTCAGGAGGGACACTGAATTGAATATCTAGAAAACAAAGGCAAGTGCATGCTTTTCAGTCACTGACAATTATTTTTACTCTATCGTAGTGCAGGCAGAGAAATATCAGAGCTGGCAGCGAGCAAATGTCACCTCTGAGAGAAAGAGCATCAATACTCAGAGTTAGGGCAGCGAAGTAATTTGGGATGAAATTCAATGAGGAGGTCCAGGAAAACACCTTGGGAGGAATTCACTTTTATCTCTAGGGTAAAGAGTTACCTGAGTTGATTGAGACATGGCTTCGTCCAGTGCCACAGCTCGCTTCTTCACCTCTTCTTTAATTTGACTGTAAAGGGTTTCAGCAACCACATACTTCTCTTGGATGGAAAAGCCTTCCCCTGGGCTCAGCTCCAGTAACTGCGGCCCGGTCTTCTTCATCTTATCTATGTGTGGCTTGTGTTCTGCTATCAACTCACGCAGTTGCTGTAACACACCACCCAGCTTCTCAGTACCTCGGGCTCTCACCTCCATACTGCAGCTGTCGACACCCCCAGTGCACAGCTGGCGAGGACCCCAACCATCGCAGAGCATTTAACACGCGGCAGTGCACATGACTCATTGCCAGGCACACACACACATTAAAGCAACAGCCCAGCCGCGCCAAAGACCCTGTGAGGGCGCCCACCGAAGTGCTGGCTGAGCAAAATAGCACACGCCAGGTTCGTCATGCACCTCACTGCAACAAGAGTACCAGACAAGGGTCCTTTCCCATAAAAAGATGCTGAACCCCTACATCCCTTGAGAGACCCAGCCACAGCCCTTGGGGTTCTTTTCACACATTCATGATGCGTACAGAAATAGGAGAGAGAGACAGGGGAACAGAAAGAAGTCCAGTAGAAGACAGACACGAGGCTGAGAGACAAACACGCAAGATGAAAGGCCAGGGGGAGGATGTAAGCCCACGGGGCTCTGCAGTTCACACGCGGACCGTGGAGAGGGACATACGTTATCGACCATCTACTGCGGTTCATTCCGCTAAACTGTGAAGGTTGTGGAGTAATCAGTCATGCACACGCATTGAGCGTTATTTGGAAGGCACATTTAAAGAAAAATGCACACTGTGTGCGTGAGTATGCTGCTCCCTTTGGTCATCCAATCAACAGATACACTGTTTGTCCTTCTGAGTGGGTGGCCTCTGATGGAGATGTGTTGGCAGTTTAAAATAAAGCTGGGTTATCTATACTTTGTGGGTCCTGGTTCTCCGCTGAGCAGTTTTACAAGGGTCAAATCCAAAACCACCCCCAGGGCAGGCTTCGTCCAAAGGTTTCTCTGTAGCCTTTTGCATCAGTAATGGCTTGGGTTCCTTTAGCAGCACTGCCCCGCTCTTATCAGAAGGTTCTTCTCCAACCCCTAAACACAGCTTCTCTGAGAAGAAAGGCGGCCTAGAGAAGCTATCAGTTTTTCCCCGGGTTTTTAACTTCTAAAATTCATCAAGAAAAACCCAGGACGGACATAGAACTAGATTTGCACTCAGGGTCCACCAAAACCAGTCCTATGGATTACTGTGAGAACTCGCTAAGGAAACTGGCGTGTTATATCCTCACTATCCCCAGAATCATAAACTCAAGTTTTCCTGAAGGTTAGCGCAAGATAGTTTTGGAAAGGGCTTACTGAATAAGCACAAGTTCAATTTAAAAAGGGGGAGGGTGGTGTCCTGTCTAACCTGCTACCCGTGAGCACACGGGAGGGCCGTGCCTACAGTCTAGCTCTCGGGCGTTCTAGGCTGAGAGCTTATTTTTATTTCATGAGCTTAGATCAACTCTTCATGCTGTTTTGCAGGACGGAGGTGGTGGTGGCAGTACCAACAGCATCAAGTCCCAGGGGATTCTTTCCTGCCATATGGTTCACACAGCCTACCACTCTATGTAAGCTGTGACCTCGGAGGGCCACATGTGATGTGTTCTACCCACACGAGTCGTCTCACTGCAGTCGCGGGCCACGGACTGGGCAGCAGTGCACAGGCCGTAACAGAATGGCACTAAGACGTCCCTGTCAAGTCAGGGTATCCCACAGCGTTCCAAAACCCCGGGGAAACCATGGTTCTTTCGATGGTGACTGTGCATTCTCCTCCACTGTGCGCTTACCCGGTGTTCCTCCTGCTGTTGTCTTAGGGTTTCGTACTCAAGGGCTGGGGCAGGAAGCTGAGAGATGGTTCTCTGTGTTTCTGTCAGCCACGGCCAGAGTTCTTCATATGTCTCCCAGAACTGGCTGACCAGGGACTGTGCCCGTTCCAGCTGCAGATACCGCTCTGAGTTCATCTGGCAGATGGCATCATACTTCTTCAGTACCTTGTCCAGTTTGTCCTGGAAAAAATCAGAAAATGAAGTGTCCGATTGTCAGGCCAGCTAGCACACCTACTCCAGGAAGGTCTGTCTAGCACTGGACACCTGGCACAGAGAAGGCACTCAACAAATGCGTATGAAACCAATCAGTAAAAGCCATCCACAGGAACTGTTTCTACACATAAAATTTCATTCTAAGCTAAAGAAGGCCCCAAACTTTTACGCACAAGACGCTGAACTGTCCAAACATAACAAGCGCCATTCTCCAACCCTGAGGCTGGAAAACAGGTTTTCTCTGATCCTACCACCATTTGCATTATTTTCTACAGAAAAATAAAGATGGTCTTTTGCAACTGAAGTTGAGAGGACTGCTAGTTAACAAAACCAATTACATATACTAGAATCAGACTAGCACCCTGGGCTATAGATCAATCCTGTGGGACAGTCACAGTGATAGACTACAGTGTAAATTCACAGTAACACTAATAGCCTAAGATAAAGCACAAAAGTAACCCGATAAACCACAGAATAACGCAGAAGTTATTTCACAGTGACCTGCACTCCTTGTGTCTGGGTCTTTGCAGAAGTAAGACAGATTCAATTACGGCAGGTAAGTTCTTTGTAGAGTGCAAATAAAAGAGAAAATGTCATGATACTGGTGGATCCTTTACTTAAGCGATGCTCAAAAGTAACGCGTACTCTTTAAAATGTGACCGTAGGCAGATACATCTGAATATATTTATTTTTTGCCACGGGATATTTTCTTGCCAGAGGCACCGACACACACTGACTTCTTAGGCTGCTCAGACGTCTGCATTTGAACCTCACCAAACATTTTTACTCGTGGATGGTGTCTGGCTAATTCGCAGGGTTAAAACTACACATACTAGGCACTTCCCTAATTACTCAGCTCATTTTTTCCCTATATGGCTTCCTGAAGCCCATTTATAAAAACAGATGCCAGCTAATGAAGGACTCAAGACATTCATAGCTTTCATGCCTGTTAAAAAAGACTGTCCTCCTGGAGACTCCCCAAGGAATATTTCTTTCACTGTTACTCTGTGAGCTTAGGAAACACCTTATTTAAAACATGATTCAGCTGCTAAAACAGCAGCTGTGGATAGAAGAGAAGTGTTTTAGGAGTAAACACATGCAGTTTACTCAAGCCTCTCTTCCAGACACACAGAAACGATGATACCTTCATTGATTTCCTTTCCTCTTCACTGGATGTGGCCATGACTTTGTGCCCGGATTTAACAAGTTCATCGATAATATCCTTGTGTCTCAAAATCTCCATGGTGAATGTCTGTGATTTGTCAAATAAAAATGAAGGCAGAAAGAGAGAAAGGGAAAGAACATGTATGACTAAAATATAAACAATCAGACAAAGGAGCTGAAAAATAGCAAGTCACACTAGAGGGGTCTTGAAAAGCAAAGCCTGCGATCCGTCCTCTAGACGTGGAGCACGGCAGCCACTGAGATGTGACCGGAAATGCACTTCTTCACCTTTTGAACCTGCAGCTGGGCGGAGGTCTGGTCTTGCTCAAGTCTGATGTCACCCAGAGACATTAATTTCTTCTCTGTTTCAGAAATCCAGGATAACTCAGCATCAGCCGCTTGGTCAAGCTAAACAAAAGATAAATAATTAGGTCAGCGAGTTCCTGGAACCGGTGCCAGGGAAATACCTATCAGTGTTTGTTTTTAAATATCCTTATTACAAACTCCACAAGACTCTTGAGCATATCTCTGAGGACAATTCATGAGAGTGAGAGTAACCGAGTAATAAAGAAAGGAGACCTTTGTACAGCGCGATTACACATAGGCTCTTAAGACACCACAATAATGACTACAGGATGGCTAGCACTGTGGCCTTCTTTTCTGGTGGCCTCAAAAACACACAGAGTGGTACCCAAGTGTAACAGCTATAAAGCTCAACAGTGAGATACCATCTTCAATTATTTTATCTGTCACCTCAACCCACGGGACAATCCAGTAGCATTCTGCCATCGAAGCACGTAGTTCCAGGCAAGGGACTGAAATGCTCCTCGGTAGTTGTCACATTGTGTGTGCAAGGATGAATGTATGTGCAGCTGTCTCAGGCAGGAAGAGTACACCATCATGCGATTCAGGTGTAATTCTTAAACATCTCACTTAGTCATGGATTCAAACATTTTTCAAGAGCATTCATAAATATTAAAGAGATTTTATTTTTCTGAGCACAGCAGTAATTCATGGGCATGGTAGAAATTCATAAACAGTATTTCATAAAAATATGCAGAAGAAAATTAAAACCTGGAGTTAATACTGTTGGCATTTTAGTGACTTTTCTTCTAGAAACTGAGACAGACAGACTTGTCACAGTTTGGGATAAAACTGCACGAACAGCTGCCTGTCCTTTTCATTTATGATGAAATGTCACAAGTGCAATTTCTAAATCACATCACTGCATTTCAGGATCCCTGGCTATTTTCCCTTAGGTTCTCTGCGGTGTTTGCTATAGGATAAACAACCTGTAATGGATCTCCTCGTACATAAGTATGCTGGCACCTCTAAGTCAGTCCTTAATATACATTCTGAGAAGTCATCACCAAGTTAAAGAGCGCAAGCACTTTCAATGCTTTGCCCCAGATGGCTCCCCTTCTAGGCCAAGTCGTTATCACAGATGAAGAACGTGGGCAGGTGACACCATAAACACCAATGGCAGATGGCAACTAACAGAGGCCTCGGCTGGAAGAGCTAAGGAAAAGGAAGGTACCCAGCTCCTGCCCTCCAGGACATCTCAGTTTTCAAGATGAGCTGGAAATCCAGATGGGGGATGGGAAGAGAAGGATGAAGGTGAGAAGCAAGGTTACAAAGTACTACTTTTAGAGCCCTGGGTGGTGGAGCACATCTGTAATTTCAGGTACTCAAGAAGCAAACACAGGAAGATCATGATTTGAGGCCACCTTGAGCAAAGATTAGTAAAACCCCATCTCAAGCCAGGCATGGTGGTGATGCCTGTGTTCTCAGCTACTCAGGAGGCAGATGTGGGAGACCACCTTCAAGCCAGCCATGAAAAGTTAGCACGAGAACCTGTCTAAAAACAGAGACTCAGCTCAAGCGGCAAAGCGCTTGCATAGCAAGCATGAGGCCCCGAGTTCAAACCCCAGTACCGAAAAAAACAGGAGAGAAAAGAATTCAACTTTTAAAGCTTTGTGGAACACTCATGGGGCTCACAGAACATCGACTAGACAAATTTTTCCTGGCTCCTCCTGATAGGCACGCCTCAACTCCCCTGGGCAAGACATATGAAACATAAGAAGACCCTGAGAGCAGAGAATAGGGCAGAACTGCTGTGGAATGTGGGCTGGAGAAGCAGCCCAGTGGTGAGTTCTCTGGGTTTTCTTTATGCCTCACTTATCCAAGATGGGATACTGGAGAACTGGCCACCCACAAATACCAGTGGGCACAGGCAAATCTGCTCAGTGAAGGTAAAGGTTGAGGAACCGGGCAGACCATCAAGACAGAAAGCTTAGTAACAACTCTAATCCAACCAAACACTGTGGCCCCACTCACACTCGAGCCTAGAAAGGCTGAATGAGGAAACTAGACTTCCACACCATGAGGCTATGACAAGGTTCCCACATCCTTACAGAAGACCAAGGAGAAACTCAGACTTTCACCCCACTGGCTCACAAGGCAAACCCCTCTTCACAGTGTCAGTGGGGACCAAGAGTGGAGCCTGGACTTCTGCCCCAAGCAGGTGGTGGAGCTGCCCCTCTCCCTCCTCTGGGTGGGGTGTCAGTATTCCATCTTTACCCAGTTTCTCACCATCACGGCCTCCCTCACCTTGCTGTGGTACCAGAGAGACCACATGAGGAGCTGGAGCTCCCATCCCACCCAACAGAAATGACGAGTTTCCCCCTTAGATGTCTAGAGAGGCTGAGTGGGGAACCCAGAATGGAGCTAGAGAAAGGTAGTTAAAACGGAAAGCTGAGGATGCAGGAAGACCTCAAACTGAATTACAGAAGAGAACTAAGTAGATGGCAATTCCTACACGGCAGAGATATTAGGATTATCTGACAAAGATGTGAATGCAGCCATAATGCTGCCTTAAATGCTTCAACAAACGTTTTTTTTAACGTTCATGGTTGAAACAAAAAAAAAAATTGGAAGGCCTCAGTCACACACAAAAAATATAACTATATAAAGCCAGTCATGGTGGTACACGCCTATAATCCCAGCAACTCAGGAAGGAAGAGGCAGGAGGATCATGAGTTCAAGGCCAGCTCAGGAAAAGTTAGGGAGAACCTATCTCAAACAAACAAACAAAAACAAAAGGGCTGGGGGGTGTGGTTCACGTAATAGAGCATTTGCCTATCAAATGTGAGGCCCTGGGTTCAATCCCCAGTAGACACCCCGCCACCAACCACCCAAAGAAAGAAATACAATAGATCAACAGGAACCAAATACAAATGTCACCACGGAAAACCACAAAGGAGATAAAGGTCAATGGAGGGGACAAAGGGAAGGATCACTGACGTGGAAGATGGAACGAGAGAAATTACCCAAACCCAGTGATCGAAGACAGACTAAAAACACGAGCAGAGCCTCAGGTCCCTGGGGAACCACAATAAAAGACGTGAGTGAGTCCCAGAAGGAGAAGAAAAGAGGCAGTGGTTGAAGACATTCTTGAACATTCTTGAAATGGTGACATTATAGACATGGTCAGAGCCTTGTGTTTCCAGGAGTTGAGGAAGGGGTAGAGTTGGGAGGGAACAAGGAACGGGAGTGGCTGGGAAGGGGTGGCCTGAGGGCTCCCTGAGCAAGGGAAATGACTGCCAATGTTGACACCCTGTGTGTGACGTCGCACTGTGTTCTTCAGGACGCTTAAAACCGTGGAAACTGAGTGAAGGATGCCAGGGGATCCTCTGTACTATTTCTTACAACTTCACTGGATTCCCAATCATCTTAAAACAAGTTTAACTCAAAAAAGGAGGCAGAAGGGCACCTCTGTGTGAGATCCCTCACTCGTTTTACGTCCCGTTCTTACTCTCTCTTTGGATGTGCGCTGCTGAACTGCTCTTGGATACTCATCTGACTCCCACAAGCTGTGTTTTGCTGTGCTCTCATCACCAGGGGGAAATCATTCATTTTTAAATGTCTGTTAAGATTCTAGACAGACTTTCCTTACTTATAAGGAAACAACAAACCTTCCGGAAAGATGTGTCTTAATCCTGTTCAATCCTTGTCAGGCCGGTATTTAATTTCATTAGCAATTATTGGTCAGTGTGAAAACAAAAGACAAGCATTTCAGGGACTAGTTCACCAGCGTCAGGAGTGAAGAAAGAAGCCCCGTGACGTGGAAGTGAGGGTCTTCTGAGTGGGTCACCAGTTTTCAAGTCGTGGTATATGCAGCTGCAGGTTCAACCTGGCTGTGAGATTCGTGTAAAACAAGTCTACGACTGCTGACAACAGTTAGGCCTGTCTACGTGAGTGCAAAGGCTGCAAGGGATCTAAACAGAATTAACAGTCAAAGTGACACAGCACTCGTGTCCTGTTTGTGTTCAAGCTCTTACAAGTACGGCATTTATATGGCAGTCCCAACACAGCAAGTCAGGAGGCTAAGTGTGGATGCTAGTTTAGCTTGCTGTCTCCTCAAACGTGAAGTATTCAGTGAAAAAAGGCCTGACGACACCCAAGATGACAGAATGCAAAGCTGAAACTCAAACACTGTTTCTTTAACCAAGTCAAATATTTGCTCTGCTAAAAGAAAACAAGACTTCAAATAGAAATTTCCCTTCTGCCTTTTGAGAAATTAAAAAAAAAGACTGAGTTAGCAAATATTTATTGCTACGTAACAAAAGGACTAGCCACAGGGTATACGACTCACTCACAGCCCTGGTAGCGCGTGTTTTTCCAATGGACTGTGGAAACGGCTTGTTTTGCTTGTTTTTCATGTCAGCAACAAGAAGAGTGAGGTGACCAGGCCAAATTTTAATACCCCTGTTTACCGCTTGGACAGGGAGCAAAAACTGATCTCAAATACATTGCTGACAGTCTCGGCACCATAACTGCATTCTGGGAAGGATTTTAACAGAGAGCATCTCTAGAGTCCAACCACCAACCTTAGCTCTTGTAACACCTGTCATAGCTGAGTTTGCACTCTGGAAATTTCCTAAAAGTTGGTGCAAGGCTCTCTAAGTGGTTACCCTAAATTTTCCTGAAACACATTCCCAAATAGCAACAGCCAGCAGTTCCACTGGCTAAGAGCTTAACATGCAGCATCTCTGTTAATCTTGACAACAGTTGTACAGCACAGGTCCTACCATTAACCCCATTTACACTCAACGATTACCCAGCCCTGAGAGTCTAGCCCAAGTGGTTTGGCCTTTCGGATTGCACTCTTCCTCCCCAGGCCGCTGTGCTGATCTATGCTTTGAGCATCGGGATTTCAAAATGTTCACTGGATTTTACCCAAAATGGCTCAAGTGCTACCACAATCACTAAGTAATACAGATACATACATATATATTTCTTTCTCTTTCTTTCTTTCTTTCCTTCTCTCTCTCCCTCCCTCCCTCCCTCCCTTCTTTCCTTCTTTCTTTCTTTTTGCACTGTTGGAGATTGAACCTCAGGGCCTTGTGGATGCTGGGTAGTGCTCTGCTGCTTAGCCACATCCAAGCCTGGTTATAGGTTTTAACTCAACATTTAAAGGTTTCTCCCATCTCTAACAGGAGTTTGTCCTGGGTGGAAATAGGGGCTCTTAAGAAAGACACAAAACCAGCAAACTTAACTTCAAGGACTTCCTTTTCACTCCCTTCCCTGGCTGGGGATCTTATCAATTTCCTCTGATTGGCACTTCCTTCTACTCTGCTTCTCATTATTCATGACACAACCCACACTTTCCCATCCCCAGCACCTGGAGGAGCTAAACAAACCTCACTTTCCTAGGGGATGTTTCCTTCTGATTCTTTAACAGAATCGGAGAGCAGGTGGTGTTTTCTTCTCCAAGGCTGATTCCTAATGCCTTGGAGGGATGTTTGTTTTAACTGCACCAGACCCACCAACAAATACATCAGGGCTGATAAGGGGGCCATTTACATAAGCCAAGCAATCAGCATTGTCAGAGCCCTGGAATCCCCAAACTGAGTGAGGTACACATATTCTAGCAACTTCTGACCACTGACAGTGGTAAGAGGCAAAGGACCATGGCTGCTCTGACCACAGTAGTCTGAATCGAGGATGCAAGTCTGCACATCTTTGAAAGCAAAGGTGCCACTCCCTAGGTGCGCAGAGCTCACGCAGTTCAGCTTGCAGTTAAGAGAAAGCAAGCAACAGGGAGATGCTACGTCGTGTGGGTTTAAACCGTGAGACCCCACATGGCTTGTGACTCAGACAATGGCACCTGCTGTGAGCCTGACACCACTGTAGGCCAGCTGCCTTGCTCCCCTCACATTTTTTCCCAGAGGGACTGAACGGAGCTGGTAACTGCCCTCAGGACCCTCCTCTTCAGAGCACTGATGCCTGGAGGTCTGAAGAACCAGGTCTGGGGGTTTCTTGCGGGGGCACGGGGCAGGCAGTCCCCTCCTCCCTGGCTCGTAACCAAGGCTGTTCGGTTATTTCCCGAGGCACGAGGACCGTCGCCCACCCCCGTGGCTCGAGACCGTGTTGCGGAACCGTGTGAACACGAAAATGCAGCCACATCAAATCAGGAGTTTCTAAACCAGAACCCGTGACGCCATGACCCGCTCGTGCGGCCACGCTCGTGCTGAACCGCCCTGACCCTGGGAATGTTTCTGTGACAGGCTTGTCACTGGAGGAAGTTTGAGAAAGAACTGCACCCCTCCTGAGGCTCAGAAGGCACGAGAGCGACGGCAGCAGAGCAGGATTAGGCTCCAGCCGCGACGCCTCACGTCGTGCAGGCGACTCCCTTGCACAGGGGCGCGGCTGTCACGCGTGACGCGCCCACGTGCTCCTCTCGGGGGTGCCGAGGGCACACGGGCGTTACGCCGGCCTCGTCCTGCTGGCGTGCAAGCGCGAGCACTCCCACTCCCACGAGCAACCGGAACACGGCGAGGGCACTAGCGCGGCTGCACGACGTCCACCACACACAGCCATGTTCGCTCCCCCTCGGAAAGCTGGAGGGACGCAGCCCAAATTATTTCCATCTACAGATTTTTGGTGAACTCTTCAATGTTCCTGCAGAAAAATCTCAAAACCTTCTCTAAGGATTGACTTTATCAGGCAAAACCCCCAAGAACCGTCACTTTCCTGAAGGACACATATGCTAGGTTCTAAGAGACTGACCTGGTTCTGCTTCCCTCTGTTCTGGTTTGTTTGGTGGTACAGGGCCTTGTGTTTGGTAGCAAGTGCTCTACCATCTGAGCCACGACTCCAGCCCTCTTTGGTTTAGGTTATTTTCCAGATAGGGTCTTGATTTTTGCCCAGGGTGGTCTTGGACCGTGATCCCCGCCTACCTGTGCCTCCTGTGTTGCTGGCATTACAGCATGTAACCACAACTGGCTTTCTGCCTGGGCTGGCCTTGAACCCTGATCCTCCTGGTTCTACTTCCCAAATAGCCAGGATTACAGGTATGAGCCACTTGCCCAACTTGGTTCACTTACTTTCTCTTTAAAAAAAAAAAAAAAAACCCAAAAACAACCTTTGGAAAAACATCAGCAAAACTCTGACTAGAACTGAGCTGCAGGTGATGACCTCGGCAAATATCACAGTGTACTGACCAACCTGAACTCATCCTGTGACCTCACCCTTGCCACCGCCTCACTTCTCTGAACTAAACTACCACAGCCAACTTCCCAAGAGAACAGAACATCTGTCTGGATATTTAGAGAAGTCTTTGGTGTCAGCTCTGAGATGTTCAAGTAAATTTCAGTGACAGTTCGTATTTTAAAATAGCTGAATAAACTTCACAAACAAACACATCCTTATTTTCCTCCGACAATACGGCGTACAAATTCCTCCAAAGTCTAAAAACAGAGCTGCACACACACAAACTCCTTCCTCACACACGCTTCTTAGGCGGGGCTTTGCTATCTGGCATTTCATCAGCTTTTGTGACTCTAGAGCACAGTGCTGATATGAGTGGGGCATGTCCTGAAATCATAAAAATCTCACTTTGATGGCACGACTAAAGAATTAATTTTGGATGTTCCCGCGGAGTCTTGCTTTTGGTATCTTAGTAAAAGCTTAGTCACATACGTTCCCCGAGCCCTGCTTAAAGTAGCGGGCACTACTGCTTGAACCCCCGCGCAGAAAGCACAGAGTTTTCAATAAAAATGAATCAAAACGTGCGTTACAAACTTCTGCTCCCAGGACCCCACTTGCTGCCCGCTGTTTTATGTGCCTAAGGCCAGGGTGTCTCTAAAACTCTGGAGTATAAACTTTGTACCAGCCACAGGCAGGTCAGAAGCTGTAATTTTTTCCCCTTCAATCATCTTTGGAAAAAACTCCACATCACCAACAAAGCTGTTTTCCTTTGAAAAAAGAATACTTTCTGTTTGCCATAGCTGAATTCAGATGACTTACTTGAGGCCTGACACTCATTTTAGCAATATGCACATATGCAGACAAAAAAGGATTCTGTTCTGACTCGGGAAAGGGCGCCTGCACAGCGACGGGCAGGTGGCAGTTGACAATGTACAGAGATTAGCACTGCCCAGTCAAATTTTATTCAAATCCTCCCTTCATGTTCCAAGCACAACGAATGAACGGAAACCCTACTGACAGACATCTTTGTTCAGGTAAGGGCTCTGGGAACAGCTGGAGAAACTTCATTGCCTAGACAACCAACCTCCTGTCCCTACCTGCTGTGTCCGCAAAATGGCTGCATCAATCTCCTCCACCTTCTGAGTGATGGCCTCGCCCACCAGGTGGTAGCGTTCGTTGTCCTCAGCGACCATCTTCTCCAGTCCTTCTCTGGCCCGCCAGGGCACCAGCTCCAGCAAAGCATTACTCACTTCATTCAGGGAATCCAGCAAGGCCTTGTTGCTCTTAACTTCCCTTTTCAGTTCCTGATGGCACAGAGATACAGGGTGAGGGCTGGCGGGTCTGGGGCTGAAGTCCACCGCTGGCCAGCGAGGCCAGGCTCAGGGCCCCTTAATTTCGGTTGAGTTAAATAGACCTTTGTTAACTGAAGCTGTTTTGTGAGAAGGAAAGTGTTTCCAGAGCAGTTCAAAGAGTAATTCATTTGTCAGTGTGGCAAGATTTTAGCTTTGGCGTTTAATATAAATATTTAAAATTTGGAAAACAAACCCAAGCAAGCCAGTTAACATGTATTAATTTCTCTGCTTTCTGGGAACCTCCACGTAATCAGGTTAACAGAAAAGCAAAATAGGAGGGTGTCCTGAGCCAGAATTAAGTGACCTTCAAAATGAGGCCAGGCTGGTATTAATCATTCAGGTTGAATCATTCTGGGCTCAGTGAACCTGACCTCACTGCCTTGCTAGGCACCCATGTGACCATATTTCAGGGATGATAAAAACAGAGACTGCTATGCCTGGAAAAGAAGAATGACCAGCAAGGCAGTCATTATCAGTAAACCCAACCCGCGCTACACAGCTCTCTGGCAGAGATGTTGTTATTCCAACCAAATTACATGTGACCATTTTCCCTTTTATGCGTCTTTATCATTCTGTGTGTTGTGTAGTAAACTATACTCCCACTCATAACTCTTGAAGCAGACTGTTGTAATCTTTGATTCCTAAAAGTTTAAACAGTCAGTTGGCTGCCAATTCCTGCTGGGTCCCCGCCCACCACAGCATCCTTCAGCCCAAGTAGCACCAACACCAGGCAGATAGGCTTTTACTCCTCTGTGAGTCTAAGATTCCCTCAAAGGTAACAAGCGGATCCAAATGCATAAATCAGGGCGTACTTTTTGTCTCACTTGGGCCTGAATCGCGGTTTCTCCTTTCACAACCTGAGTTTCACAGGACAGCAATTCCACCTCCACTTTGTCCAGCCAGGCGCACAGCTCCTCGTGTGTGGAGTGCAGCCGCCGGGCAAGCTGCAGGGCCTGCTCCAGAGTGCTGGCCACGTCACCACTCAACTTGGTGATGTCTTTGTACCTGGCTTTAATGGCTTCCAATTTATCTTGAATTATTAAAACTTCATCACCTAAAATTGCAGGGATAAGTTATTTCTTACAACAAAAACAAAGGCGGAGAAAAGTAGGGGGAGGGGGGTTCTTTGGATATTATTGTATACTGACAACATTTTTTTCTTGGGGGAAAAAAAACACGGAGACATTTTTCTGAAGATGATCTGACCCAGGAGAATTAAACTCTAATTTATGTTTTTATCTTTCTCAGGATTGTGGGTAAATCTAATCAGATCTAAAAATACAAATGGAAAAGGGGACCGTGCATCCAGTCATTTGGAAAGCAACACCTATCTTATGATGCTTTCTGTTTTCACGGCATACGGGCTGCAAAAAGTTCATGGAAGTCATTGGCTCCGTGGCTCAAAAGCTGTGTCACCCTTGGGCAGGATACTTACCTGTCTGTGCCCGTAGTCACCCGCCATGACCCATTTTCCTAACCCCGGTAAGGCCTATAGCCTCTCCTTCATTTTCAGACACACAAAAAACGTGTCTTTCGTAGGCTTCAGACTTCTCCTTCAAGTCTCTATACTGCATTTCCTCAAGTCCTAATGAGTGGTCACTGCCCCCAGGACTATGCGCTGCTGAACTGGATTAGAGATGACAGGAAACCTTCTGATGCCCAAAGGAGTCACCGAGACAAGTTTCTCCAAGTTGCTCTGAACCGTCTTTACACAGAACTTAAGCCCCATTATCTGCTTTCCTAGTGATTCGAGTATGGAGAAGTGAGGCCTGTGCACTGGAATGACATATGTCATCGCAGTGTCATCTACCTGAAAACAACCGTCTCTGACCTCTGCCTTCACCTCCTTCCACAAGTGGAAAAGGACGTGACTTCCTCATGAGTCTCTCCGCCATGCTCCTGTGCCAGAGCACTTTATGAGTAACAGCCTCAGCAGCCATCGGAACTTGAGAGAGTGAGATCATGAGAAAAAGGTGAGATCACACTTAAAAGCCCTCTAGGTTGGTCTTCAAAGCGTTCCGCAGAGTAAAATCTTGGAGCAAGTTCAAAAATTAAAAAGTGTTTTGTCTCTTTCCCCATCCAAAGAGATTCTGAAAGCAATGCAAAATGCTGACTGCATGACTGTCTGATTTGGGGGACGTCTCACCTGTGGTTTGTTTGAGAAGTTCTAAGCCATTTAGTAGTGCCTGATCTACATTTTGCTTCCTGAGAAGGATGTCCTCTTGTAGAACCTAAAAACATAGGTACCATTTTTACAGGGGGGAAGAAATTAAATCAGCATTAGCATCATTAATCTCAGAGAACTTTACTTAATTAGGTTTCACAGAGAAGCATCTGAGTAAACACCTCCCAGTTTCTCACACACACTACTGCTGTCATGTCCACTCTTCTTCCCACCACTGGGAACCTACAATTCCCAGCATTCTCCCTGGAAAATACTTAGGGCCCCCTAGAAACTGACTAAGAGAGGCACAAAGTGGGATTCACTACGGGCCTTGAAAGCCACAGTAAGACCACAAAATAAAAAGTGAAAAAAAATCCATCTTATGGAATAAATTAAATCTCATTTAAAAGTGACTTCATTAAAAGTATCCTATAAATACAGCTCAAGCCTTTTTTTTTTTTAAGTATGGTGAATCACACAAATTATAATAGACATAAAAGAATACAGAAATAAAGAAGGAAGATAAAATAATGACAACAGAAGCGAAAAAAGTAAACGAAATAAAATAAAATACCCGAAGCTCAGAGTGCTGCTGCCACAGCCCCTCAGTGCTGTGGTCCTGGACTGAGAGTGTGCTCAGTTTGTCGTGCACTTCATTCAACCAGTTCATCAGCTCAACTTCATCTTCCCCAAAAATCTTAGCGTTACACAAAGCCTGCCGGAGGAGCTCAGACCTGCTGCGACTTTTCTCTTGAATCTCAATGTACCACACTTGAGAGAGGTCTAATTTATTCTGCACCATATCTTTATCCTCCCTGGAGCTCAAAACCTTTAAGGACTGGCCAGTGCTAACGGCCTGGTGTAAATGTTTACTGTGACTGATGATGTCATCTTCTAAAACCTAAACAGAGTTTAAAAAAAGGAAGAAAACACAACAACAACAAAAAAAGAATGGGCAAATCAAAATGAGAATGTAAACAGAACTAAAGGATGACATTTGAAATGGATTTACTTTGCCAAGCACGCATAACTTAACAACAGCACACAACTCAAATCCATGTCGCCAAGCCACACAGTCAAAGGGAAACTGAGGGTTACTGACAAGTGAGTAATATCTTACTTTGTGCTGCGCGATTTGCTCCTCTAGTTTAGATGCTTGGGTTCCTATGGGTTCACAATTTGCCAGCCTCTTTTCTACGGCTGTGAGCCACTCGTTCAGTGGCTCTAAGGTTTCGTGAAATTGCTGTGCTATCACCGAGATACCTTCCAACTGACGGTTCCTGTAGGCATGCCAAGACAGAGGGTGGTTAGGGATGAAGAATGTGTGAACCATCCAACAGAAATTCTTCAGCCACGGTCTTCCCCTCTGTCCTCAACACTCTCTGCACAAATCGTCTGAGCTTAAAAAATCAAATCTCTTGACATTTAAAGAGTGCTAGGATAGTTCTTCTATTAACTAAAACTTACGTTGAAGAGCAGGTCCTCCTCAAACGCCTGAACCTCATCAAAGTGGAAAGTGATTTTTTTCCAGGAATACCAACCCTAATAACTATGGAGACAATGACAACAACACTGTCCTAACAACAGTAGGCTAATCCTGACAGTAACAGGAACTGTGTCCTGAACACACTTATGCTATGCTTGGCTCCGTTAGAAGTATTAATTTCAGTCAGAGCACTGGCTACTGAGATCGCCTTTAACCAAATGCTCAAAACTGGATTAAAAATGTGAAATACATCCCCGCTTCTTAGTAGGATGGCGGCCTGAGGTCATCTACAGCATGTCCAGCATATTTCCCAAATGCAATAGTTGATATTTTATATTTTGAAATACTGTGAGCAGAGGAGAGTTCCTGGGACGTTATTTACGGTGAGATAATAAACATAAAAAATACTGTTTGCTCAGTTGCAGAGCGCTCATGTACAAAACCTGCTTCCACAGCCCTCAGTGTTTCTCTGGTGCCAGTGACGGTACCAGTCTGCCATCAGAGCACCTGTCTCTGTATCCAGTCCTACAGATCACCTGCTGGACCAAGAGTTATGCTGTCTTAACTTCTTATCACATTTAATTCTTGGGAAATACGTGATTTGAGAAATCAGCTTTCTATGAAGGCAAAAGGAATTATACAAATTGGGAGAAGCTATAAATACACCATCTTTATCACATCAGAACATGTCTTTTTAAAAACTTTTAGTAGAACTATGGTTAAGTCAAAAATGAATAAAATTATTATATCCTTTTAAAATTCTGGATTGTCACTATTTATGACTCTTTTTTTCTAAATTCTAATGTGTAATCATCTAGAATCAGTGAAACAACTGTTTTGTAGTGGTGTTTAAATGGCTAAAATCTTGAGCAATAAATCTTAAGTGTGAATCATAATTATTACTAGTATCACTCTGCTTAGTTCCACCGTGAGTAAGGTTTTAGAAAAAGAAGATCAGTTACAATGGTTAAGTGGAAATGTAGACATTCATTTGTCTTAAGAAAAATTACCGAGACTATCTCCCATGGCAGCCACGGCACAAACGTAAAAAGGTACCCCCCCTTATGTGTACCTCAATCTATGGTCCTAAAACTGTAATTCTGTTCCATAATTTGCAATTTGCAAACACAATTCTCTTCCCCATTCTAGCTCCAAAGAAGGTAGCAATTTATGGAACACATCTGTTCAGTGGTTCTACTGTTTTCAACCCAACCAGTCTAGGTAACTACTCTTCAAAGTAGCTACACCTAACAACAGTCCACGTAGTGTCAATGAGGAAATGAAACACTGGTTGGACATTTGTAATAAAACGGTGTGATCAGAAGCCCAGTGGAGCCATGCACTAGGGCCTCCTGGTCTTCTTGAAGGTAAAGCACCTTCCACCTGCCTCCTTTTCTAGACAACTCCAACTTCTTCCTTAAAACACAGCGTGGCTGTCACTTCCCTGCCCCAGGCTGGGTTCTTCCTGATACATGCTCCCAACAACTTCTGTATTTTTGCTTCATAATGGCTTTATGTCCTTCTCGTCTGTATCCTATCTACAGGCAGAGGGGTCTGTCCAGCTCACCTATATAACCCAAGGCCTACTATGTCTGCGCCTGGTTCACAGTAGGCAGGCAGCAACTTGGTAATAAACGAATGAATTACCTCAAGGGAAATGCTTTCTTAAAACAAAGAGTTGGGGTGCATCTGGCGACCACAAGACATTATCGTTAGTGAAATGAGGAGCAGGGAGGCACAGCCCTTGCTATCTACGCTCGCATACATGATGAACATTCAAGGATTAGGGTTTGAAGACAAATATTACCATCATACACAGTTCTAAGGCCATTGCTCCTCTCTTAAAAGAATTGGGAGCATGGAGGTTACCTCATTTCAGCTTTATTAAGCAATGCTTCCCATCTACTGCCCAAGAGGCTCAGCTGTTTCAAAATCTTCACTTTATCTGCGGGCTCTGCTGTTGCTGCAATCTTTTCTCCCTCTCGTTTGATGACCTCCACAGTAGACCTGCGGTCATCCAACAGTCTCTGGAGAAGCTGCAGACAAAACATTAAATATATGAAGAGGGAGAAGAGTAACTAGATAAACATACAGTACATTGCACTTAAGCATTTTGATTTGTGGCAGAAACATGTCTTTTACATGTATGGATGCACACATCAAAGGACCCGACAGCAGGATTTTAGGAATGACTCATTTGGTTCAATCATTCATGGCTACTGTGTCAGACTCTGAGGTAGGGACTTTGCCAAGCAGACGAAACTCATATTGATAAGGCTGCTAACTTCTTCATGACTAATTGTTTAATATAAACTAACAGAGACGGTGCTGCTTGGGATAACCCCACTGAATCATGGGAAAAGTGCAAAATCCTTCTTAAACATTCAAGAATGATCTGCTCTGTTGAAATAGATTACTACAAGTCATCACTTTCTGCAAGCCCCTCTCCCACCCGAGTAAACAACCCAGATAGGCAGGGCCACCAACACTGACCACATCCACCTGCTAGCAAGGCTACAATGAGAGGCTCTTGGTTCCTTTTACCAGGTGGAACTAGTTCCTAAAATCCTGTACAAGCTTAAAAACTGGAAGAGAGCCTTTACGTATCATTTCCAAAAGGAAGAGAGCGTGGAGCAGGTCAGAAATTTCCTAAGCTAACTGAACAAGACTAATATTTCAGGATTTAGCAGCAGACACAAAATTCAATTTAATTCCAATTAAACATTCCATGATGCCCGGAACGAAATGTTCGATTGGGGGAGCCAGATCTCAGGATTACCTTGATCTGACCTAATCAAAGTAAGAAACTTCTGAGTAACTGTTGTGCACACACTCTGCGCTGCCGACAATGAGGAAAAGCACCGTGTAGAACACCCGACATGCCTGCTGCTTCCTTAGTCTGATCCTGACTGAGAGCTAGAGATTAAAAGATCTGACAGTTACCCAGAAGTCAAGGGCTACAAGACTATTTTGAGATCAAGACCACCGAGGCAGGAAGCAGGAGGAAGGAGCATTTAAAAGGAAGGAGAAGATCGTATGCTCTCTCATCTAATCAAGGTGGTTTAGGCTGCAAGGACAGCTAAATGGGTTCAAGGAAGGAATTAAGTGACTCACTTTTGATAAACTTCAATAACAGAGACTGTGGCCATTAAGAAAGGAAAATCAACAAACGGAATTTCATTAGCTAAGCATCATTAATTAACTCTGGGAGAATCAATTGCAAATGAAAGCAGTTATGTATTGCTCAAAACTCACATAGATGCAATAAATTTCTACTTATGTTTCCCTAACCCTTACCCCTAACTTTATTTCTAAGAGGTATAGTTTCTCAAAACACTAGAGTTCTCAAAGAATTTTTAGATAGTGTGAAATGTAAAACTAACGTGAGCAGTTCTGTTTACTCCCGGTGCTGGGGATTGAACCCAGGGCCTTGGGCACACAAAGCAAACACTCTACCTCTGAGCTATACAAGTTTCCAAATGTGGAAACTTGAAAAACTTAACTTACAACAATTGTATATACTTGCGGGGTACCGTGTGACGTTCAGATGTGTGTGTACACTGTGGGATGATCGGGGGGCTGTACTGGGGTTTCAACTCAGGACTTAGGCACTCCTCCACCGGAGCCACACTCCCATCCATTTTTGGAACGACAAGCAAATTAATCTATCAAGCCCTGCTCTACTTACCACTTCTTGTGCGTGTGTTGAGAACATTTAAAATTTCTTTTAGCAATTTTGAAACATACAACGCATTACTAACTTTGCTAACTGAAATCATCTAGGGATAGAAAGATACATTAAAATGTTAACTACAAAAATTTTGCATGTCAAAAAAAAATAATCGAAGTTAACATAAATAATTTGGACGTTCCACAGGAGAGACCTTACCAATGTGCACTAGGCCCCTTCCCAAATGTCATTTCAAGTCTCAGCTGTCAAACTCCCACTGCAAAGGTCAGTAAATGCCTCATACCTGTCCACTAACCAGCAGGAGCCCACAACCGTGTGTGCAGTCCCAAGCACTTCTCCCTAAAAAGACCGTGCTTTCTCCAGTGGGTCCTTTTTACCAGTGTCAAAAGACACAGTGGCACATTCCTGAGCACATAAGAGTCGAATACCTGCCTCTTTAGGAACGGGTGGCCAATCCTTAATTCATAAAAAGGCAATTTCTATGGATAAACCTACTGGGTAAGGACAATGATATTTTTTGCCCAAACGTCACTTGCCAGTGAAGGCTTTCTTCACTGACTTCCCTGTGTGCCAGCATACCCTATCCCCACCCTTGCTGTCACTTCCTGATCCCAGTCCCTCATTCCTGCTTTATTCAGGTCTTTCTAACTTACCACAGTTGACAACTTCACTTTACTGTCGCTCTGCTTACCCCTCCCTTTCCACTAAACTTCAATCTCAATGATGAAGGATAACTGTCATGTTTATTCAGTGGTATATCCCCAGCCCTAAGAACAGTGCCTTCAGATAAGATCGAATGACTAACAGAATAATATCTAGAGAACCAGTTAATTATGCTTTCCTAACACTATAAATAAGGAAACACCTTTTTGCTCTCATTATTACAATTCAATATGAAACAATACAAAAGCATCGCTAACTTACCTTCTGCTCTTGTATCTGAGCCTTCACCACTTTAAACTCAGCCGAGGGAGGCTTCTGATTGGCCACAAGCTCCTCGGTGTCCACCATCCAGCTGAGCAGGGACTCCAGGGCATCCTGGAACCTCCCACAGTGCAGCAGGGCCTCCTGCAGCTGGGCCGCTCTCTGTGCCACCTGCCAAGTTCCAGTTGACTCCACTTACTTACTTGTTTCCTAAAATAATGAGATCTGCCCACTGGTCACCACTTCTCATGCCTAGTCTTCCATTTGGTCACAAATTGTCTTTTTCTTTCCACTTCGGTCTTACCCAAAGCATTGAGAGTGGCAGGATACAAGTGGGATGGAGTCAAACCTTAGCAGGTGAGCCAGGAGGACGAGACCATCCCAGTCGCCATAGAGAGCAAGTCTTTGAAAGTTTGCAACTGTCCCAAACGTTTGTGATTAGCAATGAATGATTCAAATATCCCAAAGTTATTGGGAAAACTTTGCATTAGGCACTTTATCATGATTACTGGGCTTCATTTTTGCATTTTAATGGGGAATACCAGGGATAAAGACAGAAAAAGACTAGGATTAAGAGACATTGTTATAGCAGAGAGAATCAGACATGCATTTTACTAAACATATAGTTAAACTCCGCCACCTCCAAGCTCTGGAATCCCCTTTCAACAGTCTGGGACCTGCATCTTTCAGCAAGTGGAGTCTCTATGTACTACTGAGACATATCCCGCTGCTCTTCTCACCAATCTTTGCCTTTTGGACTGAAAAAAAGTACCTGGCATGGTACTGAAGCACCGAGGAGGAGATTTACACCTGGTGCTGCATTAGATTTATGTTTAGGGAACACTGCAGTATGAGTCAGACTTTAGAGAATGACGTGGTTTTAAGACCTGCTGCTTAAGATTTCAGTGCAGGACAAACACCACCACTGTGACCAGCACTAACTGGGCACTGGTCCTTCACGTCACATGAGGAACAGCCTGCTGTGTGTGACAGCATTATCTCCTCAAACCATTAGAGCTGTCCCTTAGGGAAGTTTACAAAAAAGCTGGGAGCTACATCTTATAGGTAAAATACTTGGAGCTGATGACCTACAGTGAGGGTGGCAAACTCTTCATCCCGGGCTGACAGGGACACACAGCTTCTTTCACTTGCACGGTGTCAAACTAGTCACCAGCCTTTGAAAATGGGAAGACTTCATGTGGAAAGAGAGATTTCCAGATACTTTCGAAAGTTAAGTAGAACATGTGGCGATGATGAGCCTCACCCCTACACGTCAACGATTCGCTGTAGCTAAGAGCCAAGTCAGACCTTTAGAGGCACAGGTGCTCGGTCACCATGGGCCCATGCGTGGGTCCTGGCTGCCTGCCACCACACCTGCTGTGTCAAGATAATGGCAGGGAGAGGCTCTGTCCCACCCAGCCCACTTCCTTCATTTATGCTCCCTACCCATCTCCTATGGGCCTCTGAGTTTGGGCCAGCCAGGTATAGTGATAGAAAAACAGTAGACATGTTTAGGGATGTTTGACTACTATAAACATGACTAATGGTCACAGTAAACACCAGTGAATGACAAGCAACCGCAGTGGTGACAAAGGGCTTGAGAGAATCACCTTCTTATTGAGTGTCTTCCACCGGGCATTGACCTCATCCAGGTCTTGCTCCAAACCCTGAGTGCTGGTGCTGTTAGCAGCGCTCTGAATGAGGCCTTGACCTAGCCAGTTCACATCTTGCTGTTTAACCTGCAAGGGCTCAATCTCTTCTTTCTGGAACACCTGCAGTGGGAAGAAATGTGATTATAAGAATTATATTATCTAATAAACCCCAAACACATAAGGAGTATTTATTTAATCATGGTGTAACAGAAACAATTACACCGTGATTTCCTCTTCATAGGTTAAAACTACCCTGTGAGTCACAGTCTGGTAGCAAATGAAATATAAGTTTGTAGCTTATCAAAACCACACAAGAATATCAAAGAATGATATTCTAAACACATTTGATCATATAAAACCAAGAAGATAGTGTATGTGTTCTCTCCTCATGACTGCACTGCCACAGAATGAAAAAGTCCCTGTTGTCTCAATTCCACTCTAGCAAAAGATTTCCAGAAAATGCTAAGGGGTAAAATAGGGTAGGCCCAAGATGAGCAAGGAACTCACCAAGGCACTCACTGGGATAGATGCAGCTAGCTGGCAGTGAAGCCTCAGACACAAGTTGGAAGTGGAGAGAGAAGACAAGAAGATGAAGTGGGCCACGAGACTGGGACCAAACTCTGGCCAGAGGAGCCAAAAGACAGGGATGGGAAAAGGGAAAAAGATACAGGCATATGCTGGGAGCGTGTGGGTCTCTACTCAAGCCACTGGAAATGCCGCTGACCTCACCCCACGGGTCTGCTCACACTCATCACCAGCACACAGCAGCACTGGCTCCTCTTTGGTCCCTGTCACCCACGCATGTGCTGCCAACGCTTTGCCAGTACTCTCCCTCCTGTCCAATGCATGGTCGCCAGTTCCCTGTGACTAGCAAAGATCTGAGGTATTAGATCAAAATGCAAATTGTACAAAAGCAGAAATTACTGTTTTCCTTACAACAGTTCTATGCCCTGGGCCGGCCACAGCCTAGCATGAAACAGGTACCCAATACTTGTGCTCCAGATTAGTCTCAGGGTAGGAAAACTGCATTTCTGTCTCGGGTGGATGACATCAGTCTCCCTCAACAGGTAACAGTGGGGGCAGACACGGCCATGCGTTCTTGACGGTCTACACATTTATAACGTGGGTCTGGGAGAATACCATGAGTAAAAGAATGCTTTTCACTCAGGAAGGAACGGGTCGGAGAGAGATGAGCGTATGAGCTGTATGAGCTCCTGAGTCATTACACTGAAGGGTACTATAGAAATCATCCAGGAATGGACAGAGAAAACCACGGAAGCACAGTAAAGGCAAATATCAGGAAGGGCTCTCGGGGCTGGGCGTGGCTCGGGAGAACAGTGCTGGCCTGGCACGCCTGAGACCCTGGGTTCCCTCCCTAGCCCCGCGGGAATAGCACTTCAGCGATCACAGGCGCAGTATGAAAAGCACTGGCGAAAGGTGGAGAGGCAGAAGACTCACTGCGGGCCGATGCCTGGCACGCAGAGTGCTCTTGTGTCCCCGTATGGGTGAGCACCTTAGAGACAGCAAACAAATTAGTGGTCACTTCCTCTAAAAGTCCCCCTGTAGCCCAAAGTCCAAGCTGCTTCTTCCTCACAAAGTCCATGCAGGCAACATCCACAGTGGCTAACCATTCCCATACAGCAACACCAAACATAAAAGATTAATTGCCATAATCAGAGAAATTCTAAGATCCCCCAGATTCCTGAGTCCTCCTACATTTTCAAAGGGGTGTAACTTACCAAATCAGTCAACAGAAAGGTGCAACTTTTGGTGAGGAAAGAATTTGACCATGTGGTTCACTTTGTAGGAGCTAACAGCCGTGGATATATTTAACTATTTACAAAATAGTGCAGGGATCTAGCAAAAGTGCTGCATAATTCCAGGGATCGATATGGTGTGTAATACCCAGGAAAAACTTTTATTCCCCCCACACAGTTTTCAGGACAAAAATAGTCTAATCGAATGTGCTAGCTAGTAAGTTGCCTTAACTAACTCTGATCTTAGCTTTAAAATGACTTTAAGAGTGTATATCAGAGCAGGTTTTGTGAGTTTGTGGCAATTTTTTAAGTGCTATAAAATATGGATTAAAAAAGAAAAAAAAATTCTACTAGTAAACTGCAAAATCCTTCACAAAAAAAAGGTATTTGGCTGAGCTTCTAAACTGCAGGTCGTTTGCTACAGGCCCAAGGAAGGGGCAGACTGGGCTAGAACAGTTATCTCACAGACTGAGCAGGACTCTTCTGATGGTGCCCCCAACTCCCTATCTCTCACTAGAAACAAAATACCTAGGAAGAGAGACTTCCCCCAAACTTGCCAGTAGCATACAGAAACTTAAAATAGAATAAATTACCTCTGAGGCAAAGTTTACCAGAAGAGCCCAGTAAAAGTACCAAAATAGCTGAGCTTCAATCTGAGCAGGGGGAAAAAAAAAAAAATTACAGGCTTCACAAACAACCTCAACTCACGACAAGGCTGCACCCCTTACTTTCTTCCCTCACCCACCTCTCACAAAAAGCCTGGCGGTGTGAAGCCTGCACACACAGCACGGGAACTCCTCCACTCACACACACGGATCCCGAGGTGTTCAGCACGTTCAAAAGGCCCTTAAGACGGGCAGAGCACGATACAGTACTGTCTGTACCTCTGCAACAAAGCCTGCTGGCGCTTAATAAACACAGTGTCACTGTCCTTAACTGGCAGTGTCTTCGACCACAATTTGTGCAAACGTCTGGCATGAACCTAAAATCACCGTGGAAGCGTTCAGAATGAAGGGGAGCAGGACCTAAACAGCTGTGAATGATCAATCTTCCCAAAAACAATTCCCTAATTAATGTATTCTAACAATCACCTTTTTGACAGCTGGCCTCTTGCAGGGTGCTAGCCACCCCTCCTCTCCCCCAAGAAACCAATAGATGTGATCGCTGTCACAACACTGGTGACCACACTGAAACAGACTGTGAGCCTCTGGTGTTGCAGTTTCATGTTTGCATTCATTACCTGGACCGACTGGAAACCATTGCAGACGACACCCAGAACTCCTGTCGGGGCCCCTGCTTTTCTGGGCACTGCTTTCTTTCTTACTGGTATGAATTTCAGGGAGCACTTCATATGGGTCACCTCCATCTCCTGGGTAGAAAGGGGGACCTCTGCGTCCCCTGTGGACGCCAGGTTGGGCTCTTCTGATTCACACCGTGCCAACAGTGCCACATTTTCCAGCAAACCTGTGCTGTCTTCATCACCATCCCCCAGGTCTGTGGGAGAGAGACCTAAGTCCCCAGGGGTGGCCTCCAGAAGGTCCTGATTTTGAGCTGTGATATGGGATTCACCTGCTCCCCAAGTTTTCTCCTCTTCTCCAGGGTTAGAAATACACCCCTTTCCCCCAAAACCTCTTGGCATAATTGATGGATTGCACTTTGTGCCTTCTTTGAGATCACGTGTGTCCCTTTGATCATTTGCACACTGGCGTTCTCCGAGTGGAGAACCATCACGCAAGATCATTCTGAATTTGTCAGCAGGGTGGGCACTTCTGCACGGGAGCAGGGGGATTTTGTGCTCGCTGATGGAATTAACAGAAAAAAACGGTCTACATGGCTCTGTTGCGTGAATATCTTCAGCAGAAGACAAACTTCTAAGCCGTGATTGGTCTCCAGTTACAAAGCCCTGCTTCTCTTCCCCCTCTGCTGGAGGACTGCATAAGCCAGAATCATCCTCCTCTGAAGTGACAGAACTCGTGCCCCATCTGCACTTGCTGGCCTTGCCAACGGCGTCAGACACGTCAGGAGGTTCCACAAAAGAGCTTTCACTTTTGTTTGCATAATCCATAAAGTTAGCTGGGACGAACATTCGCCAGGACTGCCTGTGCTCTTTCTTGTCTGCGTGCGTCTTAGCTTTGGGTAGCCCTGTGGTTCGAATGACATCGCTGTTGAGTTTGAGTGCATCAAAGATCATCTTTTCGTCCAGTTTGTTGGCTTCCCGGCCTCTCAGCTCAAATGCACTCGCAGAAGCCAGGGCGCCATTGGAGCATGAAGAGCTCACTTCCAGTGTCCTGTGACTGAAGGGCAAAGTCCGGTCTGTGAAGTGCCTGGAGGACAAGCTACCTTTGGAGCCCGAGTCGATCTGCTCGTTTAGCCTAACTGTGTCATAGATTGACCGCTGGGGGACATAACAGTCTTCAATATTTAGGTCCTCTTCTTCCTCACCCTTCCCTACACACGGGGGGTTCTGACGTAAGCAGTCTGGCCTGCTGAGTGGCTTCCCCATCTTGTAGGTGATCAAAACGAGTGTTGCAGCACTTGGCACAGAAAGGAAGAAGTAAGGCAGAGCATCTTTCTGGGCAGGGCACTTCTGGACCGTGCTAGGAAGTGTCTTCAGCATCAAGACACATATTTAAACAACACACGCCACAACTGAAGTCCACAGCAGCGCAGAGGTATAAACGCGACTCCCCTTTCCCCTGGTTGATTTTACCATGATTCTAAAAAGTAAAGTGCTTCAAGAACACAGAGCAGCCATCTCCTTCCTTCCTCCACCTCCCCCAGCCCCCAAGGCTCCTGTTCTCCAGCTCCCAAACACAGAGAAAAACAAACACACACTTAGCAGTGGCCCCAACACCCAAAACATTCCTCTGCCGGTCCGCTTCCCTTTTTAGTCTCATTCTGCATCCGAGGCTTCCAGGTTACAATTTCCAAACGAGCAAGCATTTTACAGGCTGAATGCTCACTTCAGCAGAGCTCTGGTTAACTATAATCCACTTACGGATGGCTTGCGAACTCCATCTCCTTTGTAAATAAACCACACTTCAGAAACTTGAAAGACAAGCAAGGGGCCGTGTATTGTTCAGATTAAGGCACAGAACAAATCTTCACAGAAAAATAAGTTAATTCTAACACTGTAAAAAAGTTAAAATCTTCTCTCACTTTTTTTTTGGGGGGGGTTGGGAGGAGCAGCTATAAATAATCTTGATTCAAAAGGCAGTTTTTCTTCCCATATGAAGTTTTTTCGAGGTTATCCAGAACTATCCAAAGAAAAAAGTCAGCCAGGGCAGTAGAATCCAGCAACCACTGAGACAGTCGGAAAGCACGTTGTAGTATAATGCGCTTCTGTTTAAATTTTTTCCCAAA